CTGTTAATTGTTTTCGATATAATATTTAAATAGTTTGGTATTTAAAAAAATGTCTTTTTAAACAGAAGTACCTTTTATAAACAATATAAAGCATAAATGAGATATCACTGTTTTAGGAAAAAAATTTTTGGTATTACCCAGCAGTAATGTCGCTCACTGAATCAAATTGTAAGTAAACAACATGTTCGACTTTACATATTAACATACATAAATGCTTTTTGTTAATCTACATTTGAAGTAACTCCAAACATCCACAATGATTTCGCACAATACATCTAATCAGTAACTTGAAGTGTGAATCAGTCAACCATTCGAAATTTGCAGCAGAACCTTATCAGGCTAAATATCCCGTCGGGTATTTCGAAAATTCTGTATTGCTATCGGCCATTCTTGTCCAATCATTCGAAAAGGCAAGCCTGCGTTGTTCGAGAGCATACGAGTAGATATTATGTTCGATTGCTTAGAATCTTTTGTGTAAGCACCTACCCTTTTTTTATTGAAAATATGATATTTACATCTTTATAAAACAAAGTTCTCCCCCGCATCTGATGTTGCTGTCTGTAAATATTGCGAAGATCTCAATACTGCCGTCCTCAAGCTAAAACGCGGCTAAATGACAAAACCAAATTTTGAGATTATGGCCAAAAAACAACTCGTAACCTTTAAATTAATGCTATTTTGTAACCATTTATCTCATGACGGATCTTTGACAAACTATAAAAGCTGAGTATAAAAGATACAAATACTTGTTAAAGACAGATCGATAGAGAATTAAAACTGTATATGTTGCAATTCGAGACAGAAAAATCGACCACATGTCACTTAACCGCACTTTTGTTTGTGGATGGCAGAATAACTAACTATTCAAATTAATTCCCCCAGCACCTTTTTATAATCGGACGATGAGCCCTTGACTGGGGCTGCATCCATCCATCACGTGGTTGCCATTCCTCCAATGACTGCGTGCGTTTCGATTCGTACCCAACGATATTCAAGAAGTGCTTGAACACGCCTCAAGCACTTCTTATTTCACAGTGACGCTCAGACCGTTGAAAAGTCAACATGCCACAGAGCTCCGAAAAAAAATGCGAAGAAATACTCATAGTACGTAGTGTCGTTTTTTTGACAAGTATCTGATCAATGTTTGATAATTTAACTCATTTGAAGCAAATTTTAATAGAAAATTTGTGATATTCAAATTCATGGTCGGTTGTATAGCCGTCGCTTTTCCTCGGGCTTCGTACCTGCACAATAAGTTGTCTTTGTTAGGCAGCCGTAAAAAACCGGCCAAGTGAGAATCGGACTCGCGCGCCGAGGGTTCCGTAAAATATCTAATGTAACTTAAAATGTACGGTGTTCGCAATTTTTCCTTTATCAGTGTTACGTTGCTTCGTACCAAATTTAAAGATTCTGGGTTCATGGGATGTATGTACCCTGTGGGTTCTGATTCCCTTGCGAGTTTCAAAAATTTGCGGAAATTAGCGGTATAAACGGCTGCATGTTTTGATTGCGTTGGCTTACAAGTATGACTTTTTACAGCTCCTAGGGACAGTAGACCTGAGTCAAGGGCGGATCCAGCTTTGGCGCCAGGGGGGGGTCATATAGTCATGGTCAAGTCACAATGGGTACAGATTGTGAAGTGGGTACAGATGGACCCAGCCGAGGGGGGGGGCATGACCCCCATGACACCCCCCCCCCCCCCCCATCTGGATCCGCCCTTGACCTAAGTGTTTGATATAAATTTCAGCTTGATACCTCCACACGTTCCTGAGAAAAAGGGTCTAGCCAGACGGACGGAGGGATGGACAACAAAGTGATCCTATAAGGGTTCCGATTTTTTCCTTTCGACGTACGGAACTCTAAACAAAGTCTCACATTAATTTAAATTAGAAGGTTATTACTTAAATATAAGTAATTAATACTATTTCTGAACGAATACTTATCGTAAACAAAACCAAACCATGGGAAAGAGACCATTGTTTCAAACAATAGATGAATGAATACGTCGCAGATGGAAAAGATAACAGTATGATTACTTTGGAGCGCACTCGTGCGTATGCGCAACTTTCGGACCCTGTGGACCAAGAATTACATGCGGTGAGTGTTACCTAATCACACCAATCCGCAATAGGCCCATGTGGCGTTTTATAGCTATAGGTAGTAGACTGATCATGGCATACCTACTCACAAAATGTATTCGTTAAGATAATAAATAGAGTCTGTGCGGCAAGATGCAGCAGATGCAGAAAGCGGAAAGAATAGGCGTGGCGAAAAACGGAACTAACATTAAGATTTTTAGTTGGCAATCAAACCCAGCAATCTGTAAAACGTCAAAGTTTTGTATTGATACGGATTTGTTTGTTGTTGTGATTTCTTGCGGTTTTTTGTATTTAATCATGTCTAAAAGGGGTAAAACCTTACAAATACGGTAGAAAAGCACTACAGCGCCCTCCAATCTAAATCCTATTCTCCTTCCGCACAGACTCTAGTATGGGAGCCCAAGCGGGGACATTGGGATTTACTCATACTAATAATTAAAATTAGGGGGGCAACATAACAAGACAACCTTGCACCTTGTGTAGAAGAAGAAGAAGTCCCTACTCCCAGAAGTTACTGGTGTTGTTCACGTAAAGTTACTGATGACAGGAAATATAATAATCCGCTGTTTCAATGGTGTGAAGGTGGCCGTAGAAAGAGGTACAGGATTAAAAAATTCGAGCGTGTCAGTCATTGAGAAGGCATGTTACGTGAACTCTCATTGCTCCTATTAAAAAGACTGACAATTTGGACGCGATCAAAAGTCATGGACGTTTGTTGAAAACACTTTTTTGCTGCCTAGACGTGCGGCCCTACATAAAGGGCTCTAGTATGGAGTACTTTACAAGGTTACCCCCCCCCCCCCCCCCACACACACACTTATGTTACTCTGCTCGACCGCGACAATAAAAAAAATAAAAGTAAATCCCAAAATCCCCGCTTGGACTCCCTAACTATAACGCAGACCGAAAGTGTTAACCGCTGCACCATTCTGCTCCCTAAAAAAGTAGGTTAGGTAGGTATCTTGATGAAAAGGTACCTATTATCTCAATATTACTTTTCAATTCGTAATCAGTTATCTATCCTACCGTCACTGATTATAAGAAAAGTGATCAAGAATGAAATGTCATGGTAACAATGAATTTTTCATGCAAGCATCCTTTTTAGGAGTCAGTCAGACATAGAGTTACCATTTAGGAATTTCAAAAGTCCCAACAAAAATCCTGACATTTCGAAAAAAGTCAGGAGTTTTTAGTCTCAAAATGGTACCATTACTCACTTAGTTACAATGGTGATTTCTCATTAAATTCGCATTTCTGAGGTACCTCTTCGCGCTTAAACCGATGAACTGATTTAGATGGTATTGGGTATAGAGATCTTTTGACTACCGGTAATGGATATATAATAGTTTTTGTCGCAGAAATCCTGATTTAAGAGTGTAGTAATTTAAGAGAGTAAAATGGGCGTAGAAGTTTGTTTAATTAAGAAACCAATTATTCCACGCAGACAAGGTCGCGTGTATCTACTAGTTGTTTTTATATAAATTGGTAAGAAATAAAGATCGCTGAATCGCAATCGCTTCATTCACAAAGATAGATCCCTAACGATGATACGGAACCTTTCGTATGCGAATCTGAGTGGTATACTATTTTTTCAATTAAAAGAGAAGTTAGTATATTTTTTTCTATTTATCATCAAATCTCTGCATTCAAATGCAGTTTTCAAAAATTCTATCAAACTTATTAAAAGGTACTATTACGAATTTCAAAGCGGATGTCAAAGTAAGCTAAATTTATACATTTTAGTTTGTTTTTCTACATAATTATTGAATAAATATAAAATACACAACATAAATAAAGAGTGAACATAACAATCGGACAGTTTTAAATTTCCACAACAAATCCACACAATAATTTTATTTTTTATCTTTAACATATTACATTGTTTTTTTTATTACAGATGCGGTATACAATACTTACGTTGAGTATTTTATTAATCATAGTTGCATCGGCAACACCATCGACTTTAACTCGGCGCTCTAAGGCAAAGGACACGATATGTTATAAGATAAAACCCTATTTTTACTATTATCCCTATTATCCGTGCGAAAACGATAAAACCGATAAAAGTGAAAAGTATTTATATTATTATTACTATCCATATCCTTATGTTTATTATCCTTACTATTATTATTATGGCTGATAAAATAAATGACAATAAAGTTGAAAAGGGTGCCTATTTAACAAACCTTTTTATTTTGTTCTCCAAAGAGAAAAAAGTTACATGTTATTGACTTAAAAAAAATATTGTGCACGGACCATACATCCGAAGTGAAACTTCTTTTCTTAAATAACCTTACATTAGGCGGTGCTTAAGGCATAGGGAAATGGGGCGGAGCACGCATCACTCATATATATATATTGTCGAGTGTTATGCTCGTGACGCTCGTAGCGTTTCAGCCTTCGCCGAGTTACCCTCCAACTTTCATACTCGTCGGGAAGAGCTGCACATGTATCCCACACACATCATATATATATATATATATATATATATATAGATATGATACTCGCTCGCTCGCACGACGATATATACGTGCGAGCTTTCTAGCTCTGGCACTTACCCACCGATGTTTCTTGATTGTCGCAATAAAATTAGGGGTTGGCGGTAGAAGGGTGAAAATTAGGGGGTTGTATGTATTTTCAATGCCACATTATAAAAAAAATGTCCAAAAATAGATAATAGCCGATTCTCAGACCTACTGAATACATATAATTTCATTAAAATGGGTTAAGCCATTTCGGAGGTGTAAGGTAACTAAAATTGTGACACCAGAATTTTATTTATATTTTATAGTATGAACGTTTTCAAAACTTGGCAAATAGCCTGTGCGACTTAAGTAATAAATAGGATTCTTATTGAATACGCAAACCTCTAAAAAGTTTAACTAAATAAAAGTCCAAAGATAATATATAACAAAATATAATTTATGTTACAAGTCAACGATTCATAACAGACATTTATATTATACAAATGATATAATTACGTAGGTATTTATTTCTTTATAAGAACTTCACGCCTCCAATGATGTTAACAGGTCTGCCTTTGTACTTCTTTGAGATGTCATTTTCGATCTGAAAGAGATCGAAAGTACATATATAAGTACCAATTTAAGTAGTTAGGACACTTTTAAATGGGAGTTTGGGTTTACAACGCGATTTACTGTAGTTTTATATTACTCTTCTGGCTCATTTTCTTTATGTCTGGCTCCTCTTCAAGCATTGCCTTCACAACGACCATAAGGGCGCTTGTTAATCGGGTTCGAAACCCGGTGAGGACAGATGTTCGTGTGATGAATACGAGCATTAGTACTACAGTCATGGATGTTTAATATGTATTTCTATATAAATATACTTATATATGTACAGTATATGTATTCTATCCTATCCGTTACCCTAGTATCCCATAACACAAGCCTTACAGTGCTTACTTTAGGGCTAGGCTAATAGGGGTGATGACGGGGTACAGTAAACGTAATTCTATTTAGTCCGTCAGTTAGATGATCAAAAAATAATGGACACGTATTTTTTCTTTGGGCAATAAACTAAAAAATGACAAAGTTATAGCGCGTCAAAGTTTGGGAGTAGGGGCTCGTGACGTCACTTTTGAGTGAATTTTCTCTTATAAGTGTACTCAAACGTGACGTCATGCGACTTTTCAAATCAATATATCTCTGCAATGTTTATATTATGTGAAAAAAGAAAAAATACGTGTCCAATACTTTTTGATAAACTACCTGATAAACGAAGTAAAAATATTAATCATCATCCCTATTGGTGTGTGAGTGTTGAAAATATTTATATTTATTTATTATATTTTATTTCTACCCGGGTCTAGGCACGGTTTTAAACCGTGTCTACGTCCGGTCGTCAGTTAAGTATGGGACACTATGGTGATTAGTTAACGACAACGGCGCTAGCGACGGTTTGAGGTCGGTACAAACGTACAAACCGTGCTCGTGAACAAGCTTAGCGGCACCAGCCCGGGTAGAAATCGTGCCTAGACCCGGTAAACCGGTCGTTAACAAGCAACCTTATTTTTTGGACCACGCAGCCTGTAAAGTCGATGCTATCGATCCTTTAAGTTAACGAGATATATATATATAGACTTTACTTTAAATATTTAAGCATTTAACTGCTAGATATTTAAATCTAATGAAAATATTATTAGAAAAATTTCGACGCGGACCAGGCAGCAGAGAGGACTCGAACCCTTGCTGCCTTGCAGCGTAAAAAAGGCTAGAGACATTTCGTGAAAAAAAAACGAATATTGGCTCATATTTGTCGCGAGTAGTCATTATGGGTACGTTCCCAAGTTGTAGGGCGCGTTTTAGTTCTCGCGCCGGCGGTACTGGGACAATTTTGTCTCAAAATCCCGAGAAAAATCACTTTTTCCTAGTTAATTGATGCACTCAAGTCGGTCCTATAGACCTCGATATGATGAGTTGTAGCGTGAGTTTTAGTTCTTGCGCCTCATTGTTGTCGGCATTTAAGACCCCCAAGTTAAGTTAACCCTTACGGATAATTTAGTCCAAAAGTCCTTTCTGTTTTGAGTGTGCTGCTGTTGGTCGCAGATGACCTTTACAGCGTCACCTGGTTTGGGGACGGCGAGATCCTAAGGGGACCTCAAGCCGAGAATTGGCGAGTGCCTCTAGAGGTACTCCAGGTCTCCTCTCCGTCCGGAGCCTCTAGACCACTCGAACCTGAGGGAGTCGACTGAACTAGAATGAGGTCGAGTGGGCGTCTCTGAAACTCTGACCTCAGCTCTATTTAGCCGTTGTTATGGGGGGCGGGGAAAAACGCCCAGGTACGTACCTGTACCTAGTATAGCGTGTCGTGTGTAGACCGGGTTTTCGCACTCTTATCCTAAGGGTGCGGTGTCTGCCTAATGCTAAGCTAGTGTGCGCGTTTGTTAGCTGTGTAGTGTTGGTGTTTGTGGCCTGTGTGGGAGGAATCGGAGGCACGTTGGCGCGTGTGATTTCATCGTCGAGGTAGTCTAAGACGTACCTAGGCCGACGGAATCGGAGGGACCTACGATTGGAGGACGGGAGGGCGGACGTATGATAACTACTCGCTTTTACTACTAAGGGGTTCGGGTGATGCGCGGCTTTATCGAAGTAACGCCTCGAGGCGTCCTAAAAAGTCCCTAGAAGTTATCACTTTTTAAGGTAATTGAGGCAATCATATTAGTTTGAAGTTCCCCAGTCCTCGCAATGATGAGTTGTAGCGTGGGTTTTAGTTCCTGTGCCCGCGTCGCAGCGCAGCAGTATCGCGTTGTTTACGATGAGACCTGGTAAGTACACTCACATCGGCCTGCAGTTTCCTAGTCCTCGCTAAGATAAGTTGTACCGCGAGTTTAGTTCCTATGCCTTGTTGTCGGCATTTTAGACCCCCAGGTTACCAGCCCCCTTATGGCTAATTTGGTCCAAAAGTCCCTAGAACTTATCACTTTTTAAGGTAGTTAAGGCATTCATATTAGCTTGAAGTTCCCAAGTCCTTGCAATGATGAGTTGTAGGACGAGTTCTAGTTCCTGCGCCCGCGTCGCTGCAGCGTCGCGTTGTTTAAGATGGGACCTGGTAAGTACACTCACATCGGCCTGCAGTTCCCTAGTCCTCGCTATGATGAGTTGTAGCGTGGGTATAAGTTATTGCGCCTGCGTCACCGCAGCGTCACGTTGTTAAAGATGGGACCTGGTAAGTAAACTCACATCGGCCTGCAATTCCCTAGTCCTCGCTACGATGAGTTGTAGCGTGGGTATAAGTTATTGCGCCCGCGTCACCGCAGCGTCAAGTTGTTAAAGATGGGACTTGGTAAGTAAACTCACATCGGCCTGCAGTTCCCTAGTCCTCGCTATGATGAGTTGTAGCATGGGTATAAGTTATTGCGCCCGCGTCACCGCAGCGTCACGTTGTTAAAGATGGGACTTGGTAAGTAAACTCACATCGGCCTGCAGTTCCCTAGTCCTCGCTATGATGAGTTGTAGCGCGGGTTTTAGTTCCTGCGCCCGCGTCGCCGCATTGTCGCGTTGTTTACGATGGGACCTAGTAAGTACGCTCACATCGGCCTGGATTTCCCTAGTCCTCGCTATAATGAGTTGTAGCGCGGGTTTTAGTTCCTACGCCCGCGTCGCAGCGCAGCAAAGTCGCGTTGATTACGATGGGATCTGGTAAGTACACTCACATTGGCCTGCAGTTCCCTAGTCTTCGCTAAGATGAGTTGTAGCGCGAGTTTTAGTTCTTGCGCTTCCTTGTTGTCGGCATTTCAGACCCCCAGGTTACCAGCCTCCTTATGGCTAATTTGGTCCAAAAGTCCCTAGAACTTATCACTTTTTAAAGTAATTAAGGCACTCATATTTCCTTGAAATTCCCAAGTCCTTGCAATGAGTTGTAGGGCGAGTTCTAGTTCCTGCGCCCGCGTCGCTGCAGCGTCGCGTTGTATACGATGGGACCTGGTAAATACACTCACATCACCTTGCAGCTCCTATTCCTCGCTATGATGAGTTGCAGCGTGGGTATAAGTTATTGCGCCCGCGTCACCGCAGCGTCCAGTTGTTAAAGATGGGACCTGGTAAGTACACTCACATCGGCCTGCAGTTCCCTAGTCCTCGCTATGATGAGTTGTAGCGCGGGTTTTAGTTCATGCGCCCGTGTCGCAGCAGAGTCGCGTTGTTCTGCCGCGCGCGTTGCTAGGCGACGAAGCTTGTCGCATAAAGATAGCTTCTGTTTCAGCTGACCGGTCAGGACGTCCACGTATCTGTTGGTTTACCAATAAATCAATACATAAAATAAAATGGTAAGAAATTCAAAACTGTACATTGAATATTTTTCTAAAAGAATACTTGGGGTGTGATCTACAATTGATACCGAAGCCAAAAATAAAGTTTTTAGATTTTTTTTTCTGTATGTCTGTATGTATGTCCGGGATAAACTCAAAAAGTACTGCATGGATTCACTTCAAATTTGGCACGAATATTATTAAGAAGTCGGGTCAACATATAGGCTACATATTATCAAGCTATCACTTACGGGGAACGAGCAGTGAACAAGGGTCAAAAAGTATGTGCAAATAACTAACTCCACGCGTACGAAGTCGCGGGCGCTAGTACTAAATAAATGTGACTATTCGTAAGTGGAATTCTTTGCACGTGCACGTGTTCCCTTCTTCCTACAATCTGGGGTCCTTTAAGAGTGACATGAAGAAGCATTTTTGCAGGCCTGCAAGGTGAGGATGGTTGGTGTGGCAGTTTATAACTGCTGTACCAGCTATCTTCGCATTTGGACTTTAGCATCACTTAACATCAGGCTACCCCACCTGATGTTAAGTGGTGCTAAAGTCATTTGCCTACCTGGCTATATAAAAAAAACCTATAATCCTATAGCGTTAAATAAGCATAAATTGGATGAAAGAAGTTTTCACTTCAAAAATCACTTAATTAGTGTGAGGTACTTTATGGATGACCTCTTAAAGAGAAACTCGATGGGTCTGAAATAAATGTTATTATTATTATAAAGATAAAGTATTAAATATCAGCCTATTAGTGTTCCCACTGTTGACGCACAAGAAGGCATACAGAGAATGGACCATGAACACCACGCGGCCCTAGTGTAAAATGGTGGGTGCTAACATACGAACTAACATACTTATATATACATCCGAAACAAGTAGCGAAATGCACGTATACACTAACATGTATCGACTAACTCGGAGATTTTTTGATTTGCAGTAAGAATGAACTAAGCCGGGTGTCAAAAATAATAGTAGTCCTGGCCAATGTATATCACTTTCAGTTTAAAGTTCAAAATCAGTGATGTGTGTTACATTTAGAAGTGGTACACTGAAATTATAGCCATTAACAGGATTGTTACCATGTACCTTATTTTTATGAGTCTCCGATATTTCGGCACTGTTGCAAGCGTCATGATCACAGAGTAACTCCAGTTACTCCAGAGTAGCAGTTACTCCGTGATCATGGCACTTGCAACAGTGCCATGGTCAACATGCCTGAAACAGATTCCACACTTTCCACAGGCAGCTGCTGAATCAACGAGAAACTACAGATTCTCATACCTAGGCGAGTGCTTCACATTATGCAAGTGCTTAGCTTCGGACGCGGTCAGACGTGCTGCTTCTACTTGTACCGCGGCCAGCATGCCTGCTAAAGAGTAAACTAGCAGTGTCCATAATATTGTACACTTACCTAGGCGAGTGCTTCACATTATGCAAGTGTTTAGCTTCGGACGCGGTCAGACGCGCTGCTTCTACTTGTGCCGCAGCCAGCATGCCTGCTCAAAATAAACTAGCAGTTTCCATACTATTGGACACTTACGTAGGCGAGTACTTCACATTATGCTTGTGGTTAGCTTCGGACGCGGTCAGACGCGCAGCTTCTACTTGTACCGCGGCCAACATGCCTGATAAAGAGTAAACTACCAAGGTTCTACCATCTTTCTCCGAAACGAACTTTCGTTACCCAAGTTCAAGCGAAATTTAATTAGGTCAATTTAGGTTATACTTAATTTGAAAGATAAACTATCAAATTGAAACTTTCTTTGAGTAGGCTTAGAAAATCTACACCTCAATCTAAATTCCGACGACGAATATTATTATAATTAAAAACGAACCAGACACATAGTAAGAAAAGTGTGAAGTTTCGTTCGAAATTTCGTTTTTCGTTGAATTAGAGTAGGCCTGCAGTTTCCACACTGTTGGACACTTACCTGGGCGAGTACTTCACATTAAGCCAGCATGCCTGCTCAAAATAAACTAGCAGATTCCATACTATTGGACACTTACCTAGGCGAGTGCTTCACATTATGCAAGTGGTTAGCTTCGGACGCGGTCAGACGCGCCGCTTCTACTTGTACCGCAGCCAGCATGCCTGCTAAAGAGTCCACACTCTCCACGGGAAGCTGCTGTATTAACGAGAAACTTCCAGTCTCCATACTGTTAGTCTCGTATAAGCGCATTTTGAGGAAAGACTCCAGCTATAATTGGGGAAAACGCAATTTTTTATAATTATTATTCAGATATCTACAGTACCCTTAGCACGAACCAATATCTAATTCGTAACTTTTGCGAGTCCGAAATGTCATTGTCAAATGTGTACTGATTTTTAGTTCTCGTTACGTAGTATGTGGCGCTGCTGTTCAAGTTTCCATACAAAATTTGACATTGACATTTAGCACTCGCAAACTATTCGAATTCAATACTGTTCGTGCTAGGGATACAGTTTATTGGTTTAAGTTTTAGTGGTTATGTAACTATTTGAGATGTACCATTTGCTGTGTTCAAATACAAATCAAATGATTCGATGTGAGCCGTAAATGAACAATTGCTAATTAATAATAGTTACCAGAGCTAAACAAAGTAAAGACACTGATATTATCTGTTAATGGAAATGTTTTTTTTAGCCATTTACCATTAGGCTACCATAATAATGCTTTATTATCGACATTTTTAGTAAAAGTAATTTTTAAAATTTATACTCAATGTAAAAAAAGTAATATAAATATTTTTTAAATATTTCTTTAATAAATTATGTAAAAAAGCTTGTTTAAACTCGAAAAAGTCTAAGTTCGAACTGTGGCTTTTGTATGAAACTCAAACTAGAGAGCATTTAAATTACAACATGTTAACATTCAAGCTTATTGCTTGACCAATTGAAAAAAAACCTACTAATAGTAAAAATGTAAAAGTTTGTATGTATGTGTGTTTTATGTTTATATGTTTGTTACTCAATCACGCCAAAACTACTGAATGATTTTGGATGAAATTTGGCACGCATATAGTTTATTAACTGGATTGTAACATACGACAAGGTTGGTTATGTAAAATTCCCGAGGGATTTTCAAAAAGCTAAAGTTGACGCGGACAAGCTAGCGGGCGGCCGCTACTTATTAATATGTTTTGTTGTCAACTTCATTCATAACAAACTCAATCTTCATTTGATATGATATATATTTTTTAACATATTTAATTTTTTGTTCGATGTCTATCTATGTTAGTAAATGTTATGCACAATTGTAATTTGGCACAGGCATGCCCATAGTTTTTTTTTGTAGGTTATTGTTTTTTTTTTGTCTGATGCCTGTCATTGTGCCATTATAAATAAATAAATTCCTCACCTCAACTAACTGGTCTATGATCTGGTTGCGGGTAGAAGGATTGTCGAGCAGAGTGAGAGCATCCTTTCCCCGAGCCACTCCACCGCCCATACCTTGATCCTCCACCACTATACCAGACTCGTCTAATGAAATATTAGCGATGTCTACCGCCACGTCCTGAATGAATGAATAAAATATTTTCAACACTAACCAATTAGCCTAGCCCCAAAGAAAGCACTGTAAGGCTTGTATCCCATGATACTAAGGTAACGGACAGAAACCATATACTGTACATATATATTTATATAGAAATACATATTAAACATCCATGACTGGAGTACAAATGCTCGTATTCATCACACAAACATCTGCCCCCACCGGGATTCGAACCCGGGACCTCTCGAGTCGGCGAAACCATGAAACCCGGCGTACAAAACCAAGGCCACGGAGGTCGTTATCATCAATGGATAAATATGCTGCCGTCCTAGTTAAGAATGCAGTAAGGACTAAAATCCAATATTTTAAAAGCTCTTTAAATCATGTCAGAGCCGTAACTGTATTCTTCAGTAGGACTGCAAACAACATAATAGTGTTATCCTTAACCTCTATGCCAGACTCATCTAGTGAGATATTCGCGATGTCTACTGCTACACCTGGAAATGAAATGTAATCACAATATGTGATCTACTATGAAATACCATCAATATGGCACCTTAAGTACCTGCTCATTAATTTTATCACACTTTTGCAAAGAAACAAGACAGGGATTTCGATTCGGCGGTCAGACGTGCCGCTTCTACTTACAGTAATACTAGCACGCCTGCTACAGAGAGGCAGAAGTACATATGTATTGCATCGGAAAAAAAAGAGTCTCAATGTGACTGTTATGTAATTTATATGTATTATATATAATAGTAATATGTATTTAATATGTTAGAATTTTTTACATGCTATTATTATGTCTTATAAGTAAATAGGTAGGTTAAGTTTGTTAGCTTAACATAATGCTTCATATGCGAACACCTTTTGTCAACCCTATTTAATGGAAATAAAGAGTATTCTATTCTATTCTAATACTTTTAGTCTACTATGAAAAACCATCAACATTTAGCTCCTTAGATGGCCTTCTTATTATTTTTATTTATGACACACTTTTGCAACGAGACAGATATGGATTTCAAATCAAAATAATAAAGAAAATCTCATCATTTATAATAACATCTAGTTATAATAGGTAATGCATTACTCATACCATAAATAGATTAAAAAATATTACTCTACAAAAATTTTGGCCATAATGTCAGGAACGCGCGACGTGAATGACCTCGATGAAGACCGAATAGTGATATTCATTCGAATATGAGCATAATACAGTGAATTTTAAGGGTGAAAGTGCAATGACATCTGCACTTGTTTACAACTCATGCGCGCTACCTACGTATAACTAGGTATGTACTACGTACTCGCCGATGCTAGTGAACTCTCATTTGAACTGTACCCTCAGCACGAACCATTTTCGAATTCGAATAGTTTGCGAGTCCGAAATGTCAATGTCAAATTTTGTATGGAAACTTGAACAGTAGCGCCACAAAGTGCGTAACGAGAACTAAAAATCAGTACACATTTGACAATGACCTTTCGGACTCGCAAACGATTCATTCGTACTTTTCTGGAATGCGTCGATTGGCGTATTTATAAGGGCGTCCAGTGCCGCGCAGTAGACAGTTGATTTTCAACAGCAATTTCAGAACAAAATCGATCAGAATGCAAGTGTTTGTGCGAAATTTCGCGCGGTGTCAGCTGGGAGTGGACGTGTACAGTGTTAACTCAAGAAAATAATACAAATTTTGTCGATAGTGTATACGAAAGTTGCCCGTAAGAACTTTGACAATCAATTAATCTATTGGTATTATTATTAATACGCGATGAGTTGCGCGGGGTTATGAAGGATTTTATGGCTGATTATATGACGGATTTCAAAAACACAATAAAATCACAGTTCTCTGAAATTATGAGCGAAATAAACGAATTTAAAAATTCTTTAGAATTCATTAGTGAAGGCTTCGACTGCATGAAAAAAGAACTTTCCGCCGCAAACGCCAAAATTGCACTAATAAATAAAGAAAACGAAACCCTGAGATCGGATATTTATTCTTTGAAGCTACGTTTGAACACCTTTGATCAGCTTTCCCGCTCATCTAACCTTGAGATACAATGCGTCCCTGAACGGAAGGCCGAAAATTTGATAATTATGGTGCAAGAACTGGGTAAATCTATTAATTTTAACCTAAACGAGAAAGATATTAGTTATTGTTCTCGAACAGCAAAATTGAAATCTGACAGCCCCAGACCTCGCTCGATTTTGGTAAAACTGAACTCACCTCGAACCCGAGACTGTTTTCTTGCTGCCGCCATCGAATTCAACAAGAAAAATCATGAAAACAAGCTCAATACCGGGCACATTGGAATTTTATCTACTAAAGTTACCCCTATCTACGTAACGGAGAATCTATCGCCCGAAAATAAACATCTTCACGCTGCGGCGCGCAAAGTAGCTAAAGAAAAAAATTATAAGTTTGTTTGGATCCGCGGCGGCAGAGTTTACCTACGGAAAACCGAAACATCCGAAGCCATTTTTGTGCGTAATGAAGAAGTGCTCGAGAAATTAAATAAACTGTAATGTTGTAGATTGTAATTGTTATCTTTTTTTTTTGTGTAATGTTAATGAATCTTTAATTAATAATTAGTTAAAATTCGCTTCTTATTTAAATTTTTATTTCCAAAATGTTCGAGGATTGCGCACCAAAACGAACGACTTGTATTTTAATTCAGCTAGATGTGATTATGACGTTATTATTATTAACGAGACGTGGCTTGATAATAGTATTATGGACTCTGAGATTTTTACATGTAATTACAACGTCTTTAGACGCGATCGCGAAACGAGTCCCTTACAACGTAAAAGGCGCGGAGGTGGTGTCTTGGTAGCGGTTTCAAAACGAATTAAATCACGCATTATGAAAAAGTACGAAAGCGGTTGTGAGGATTTGTGGATCGAAATTGAAATCAAAGTGGATAAAAAAATTGATAAATTATTACTATGTACGGTTTATTTTTCACCACCTGTCTCAAAGGAACATTTTGAACACTTCTGTAATAATGCCAATTTAGTCGTTAGTAAATACAACCAGACTATGATTTGTGGAGACTTCAATCAGAGTAATGTAGACTGGCTCGGTACACCGGGATTGCCATTAACATCTAAAATAAATACCAGTAGTTCCACTTCGGACAATTTATTGGAGTTTATGTCATTAAACAATCTTTATCAACTCAATTACATAACTAATTTAAATAACAAAGTTCTGGACTTAATTCTTACAAACATACCAATTATCGAACTGGTATCCTCACCGGATCCCCTAGTTAATATTGATTCCCATCATCCCGCGTTGGAATTTAATGCTGTTTTCAACCAATCATCTCATAAGTTACAAGCCAACCTCAAATCGTCTAAAAACAACTTCTACAAGGCAGACTATGACAGCATTCGCAAACTTCTGGATGACACTGATTGGTCTCAACAGCTTGGAGCCTGTGCATCGGTAGATCTAATGGTTGACAGTTTCTATCAGGTACTTAACTCTGCCGTCAAGAGATTTGTACCTATTTCGCCCATTTCTCCTAACAATATTCCCGTTTGGTATACCAAAGAACTGAAATTCCTACTTAAAGAAAAAAACAAGTTTCGCGTTCGTTTTAAAAAATATAAAAATCCTCTCGATAACCTATCTTTTAAATCATTGAAAAAAAGATGTGATGCCTTAATTGTTAAGTGCTATAATAAATATATAGATTTAATCGAAGAATCCATCAAATCCGACCCAAAATTATTTTTTTCTTACATAAAGCAGAAGAATACCAACAGTGTCTCGTTTCCAGCTTCAATTAAATATGACAACATCACGGCTTCAACTGGTCCTGAAGTATGTAATACTCTCGCAGCATTCTTTTCAACCTCATATAGCACAGATGACCCTAAAACCCAAGTCGACTATAACATTAACAACAGTTGTAAAACCACCCACTCTCTGAGCTCTTTATCTTTTTCAGAAGACCAAGTTTTGAAACGTCTTGAATCTCTCGACAGATGCAAGGGAGCTGGAGCAGATGGAATACCTTCAATTTTTGTTGTCAACTGTGCTAAGCAACTATCTCCACCTCTCACATATATATTCAATGCATCGCTCGCGTCGGGTACGTTTCCATCAGCCTGGAAGAAGGGCCTTATTGTACCAATTCACAAATCTGGGGACATAAATAATGCCATTAATTACAGACCCATTACCATTTTATCGGTGTTTGGTAAATTACTAGAATCCTTGGTATGTCCTCACATATCGTGGCACATTAAGAGTGTACTGGCGGACTCCCAACATGGATTTGTTGCTGCTCGCTCCACCAGCACTAATCTAGTAGATTTTGTCGATGAGATATCGCGCCTGGTAGATGAGCGCATAGCAGTGGATGTTATATATACGGATTTATCCAAAGCCTTTGATAAAGTTCCACATTGTAGTCTACTTCAAAAACTATCCCAGTTTGGGTTTGCCGGCACTTTTCTCGATTGGTGCTCGTCATACTTACATGGTCGTACGTCGAAAGTCGTAGTAAGTGGTTATGTATCTAACCCCTTTCCCAATTTGTCAGGTGTGCCCCAAGGTTCCCACCTGGGTCCTGTATTTTTTAACATATTTATGAACGATGTCACATCCTGCTTCCGAAATAGCAAACCATATCTTTACGCGGACGATTTAAAGTTGATGAGACCAATCAGGGACACCAACGATAAATTGCTGCTTCAAGAAGATATTGATAGGTTGGAATGTTGGTGTAGGAGCAACAATATGGTTTTAAATGGTGATAAATGCTGTCATATTCATTTTACTCGTAAACATAGTGAGTTACCGGGAGTATATACTGTATCAGGAAAATGTATTCGGGAGGTTGAATCCGTCCGAGACCTCGGTGTCATTCTTGATAAGCAATTAAATTTTAAGGAACACTACGACCACATAGTTAATAAGTCATTAAAATGCGTTGGATTTGTTATCAGAAATACCAAATTCTTTAAAAACAAATCGAGTGTAATAAGGTTATACGAGAGTCTAGTCAGATCGCTTTTAGAGTACTGTTGCGTCGTTTGGCACCCGTATTATGAGGTCCACTCCAATAAAATCGAACGCGTCCAGAAGAGGTTCTTGTACCACTTATCATACAAATTTAATTTGTGTTAAAGCCTTAAAAGCTATTCGGACCGGTTAAGACATTTTAATCTTATATCTCTTAAAAATCGCCGCAAAATTTTAAATCTTTCGTTCCTTCACAATTTAGTCAACGGCAACTTAAATTGTCCTCAATTGCTTCAAAAAGTTAATTTTACAATTTCTCATAATCTTCCGCGCCTCTCTAGATACTCATTATTTAAACCAAAGCGCTCCAAGACGAACCTAGGCTCATTTTCCCCTATTAACAGGCTCCTTACTGATTATAATAATATCAGTAAAAATCGTGAAATTGACATATTCCATCTAAGTTTACCTGCATTAAAAAAAAAATTACGTATAATGTTCAAATAGATTCTTAGTATTAACTTTTTCTTGTAATAAACCTTTATTTAAATTATAATATTTAAGCTAAGGGATGCCCTACGCTCCCGACTCCCATTGTATACGCTTGCCGTGGCAACCTGTAATTGAGGTCGCACCAACTCTTTTATAACAAATGTGTAACTTTTAGCTTTTAAGGTGTATGATCTTGTTGGTTGTCCAAATAAATAAATAAAAAAAAAAAAAATTGTATAAGGACTTATACAGTGCACAGTGAATGTAGGATTTTGTTTAATAAAGAGTGTTGACTAGCATAATAAAGTCATTCATTCAAAGTTGAACCCAATTCCGACACATAACAATACTATAAAAAGAACTAGGTATTAGAATAACTTACCAAGTCCCCAGCAGCTGCATTGTCCATATTTCCCCAGTCAATTTCTGCTGCCACATCACCTTCACCGAAGTCTATCTGACCCGCTGCAACATCTATGCTTCCAAAGTCTATGGCTGCATCCCCAAAATCAATCTATAGACATCAATAAAAATAGTACATATTTAATAAATTTTAACTTATTAGCTCTTAAATTTTATTAGCTCAGTATTTCACTACTTTATTTTGAACAATTATCTAGCAATATTAATATACATATTTATGAATTACACTTATTATCTTTTTCATTTCAGACTACCCTGTCTTTATCCAGTCAAAATTTATTTGCTTTTATGCTAGCACTTTACATGGCGATTCATATTAAAATTTGCTGTCATTTTGACAGCAGGTTGTCCTTTCCATATTCTATAGGGAGAGAAAAGGAAAGACTGTTGGCAAGTTTACAAATTGCTTTCAGAAACGTGAAACTGTCAAGGAAGAATGTATATTCGGTTATTTACTTTATACTGCCATAATCTGTTTCTACCAAGCAGTTTTTGTCGTGTCTCTCTCACTACTGGACATTGGTGAAATTTCTGTGTAAAACAGAGAAAGCCACAGACACAAAAAAAAAAGTTTACAAATATCAAATGCAAACAGTCATGTGTGTCAGAATTACAATGGTATGTTCTACTGATTTTGTCAAATTGATTTGAAATATTTAATGTTATACCGATGTTGTGAAATTGATTTGAAATATATTTAATAATCTTGAAACACACCTGGTCACCAGCTGCCTGTTCTTCATCATCAAACTCGATATGGATAGGGTCAGGTTCCACACTTAAGGGAGGTTCCCCATAACTCCATTCGTACACTGTCGTATTGCCATGTTCAACAATGTACTGCAACAATGGCAATACTTCTGTGGCCTTATCTCCTAATACATACTTTGTGAATGCTGCATACAGTTCAATGCCAGGGAGGAGTGGTTTCAAAGACTTTCCTATCTGAAAACAGAAACAATATTTTCATAAATACCCATGTCATATTATAGCAATAATATAATGTGTTAGCTGCAAGAAGCATCCTTTGATATATCTAATTGAAGAAAGCTTTAAGAATATTGCTAACAGAGAGGTGTAAAAAGAAATATTCAATTAGACTGTAGATACACGCACAATGGTCCACTTAAGGGCTAAGTGCAGAAACTATATCCTCTAACTTATAACATAGACTATAGATATTCAGACCTATCTGTATTCTAGTAACATACTATTTATTATTAGGTATATTCAATAGAGAATAATCCTGGTAATGAATGTTGCTTCTAAAATAACAAACCTTTTCATAGATCTCTGGTAATTCTTGTAGCCTATCTACTAGCTCTCTCTTGATCTTTTCTCCTTGAATGCCGAGCTGCTTGCATTGAGTCAGGAACTCTGATTTGCACGAAGCTTCATTTTTTAAATAATCTGTGTGTTTCTTTTCGCATTCCTGAAAAAATGTACAGTGGTCATAATAATTGAACAGAAGAGAAAGTAGAAGAAATACACATTACCATTGAAAAAAATAGTTAATAGCATATTAAGCCTAAATCTTGGATGCATTTTACTTAAAACTGAATTTGACAGTAAATTACTTGACTCTCTAACAACTTACTTAATATTCGGTAAAACTGTACTTCCAGGGCCTAAGACGAGATACTCAAACTTTTTTGTAGAAAAGGTCTCTTTTAAAAAAGTTATGGTCACAACACTAACCTAAACTAACCCAGTATGAAGTATCACCACTTGGGCCATGGAAGTAGAGTTTAGCCTAATATTCTTTGTAAATTGGATATATCATTTCAAACATATAGAGATAGATGAAAAAAAACTCACAGTTTGCATCTGCTCCTCTTTTGCTATCTGCTTCTTCAGACCTGGTATTTCGTAACTAATATTTCTGACCAACATTTGAGCAGCCTCAGCCAAATACAAGTTTTCTTTCTCATAACTCTTCACTACATCCTGCCAGTCCTTCATTCTTTGTGAACCATATCGACCAAACAGGTTTTTAGTGTCAGCTTCAGTCTCTTTAAGGATTTCAATTATCTTCAAACAGTGAAAGTAGTTAATGTAACTGCCAGATAGTAAAGCTGCTATGTCGTCATGAGCGGGCATATCCTGTATAGCATTGTTAATTTTTTCTCTTACAGCTATTATATTTTTCTGCCACTCTTTATTCACATGTCGACGGCTTACAAGCCAGTCCTGCAACTTCCCTATGTTAATATCAATAGGAATATTGCTGTCCTGAAAACAGTTTGATGGAAACGTTAAAATCAAATATTAATAAACAAAATGCGACACCAGTGTAAATATTTGTGTACTTACGTCCATACTCTGAGATTTTATATGAAATTAAATGAAGCACAGGACTCTTTATAAATAATTAATTCTAAAAAACTTTCTGTGATAAATTCAAAACTATTTTGTTCACGTTTCATACCACGACAATGACAGTGACACTGACAGGTGTCGATGTCGTGTCAAAATGGAGGACTTGATTTCTAACCGATGATGGTTAATCGACTTTAAATAGTATAAAATTTTAGCAGTGTTAGCTTAGGAATTTGTTATCATTCGTTTTAAATTCCTTGTCTTTCTTATAAAGGAAATACAGCTAAAATATGACTTGGAAGGTGCAATATATAATAACATTAAGGTGTCGATTCTGGCATGGTTCTGTAAACCTAAACTTAAATTTGACAATAGTGTATCCTTGTCATTCTCTATAGAGAAGGAAAACGAAAGACTGATGTTAAATTTACTTTTAAATTAAGAGAATCATGTCAGAATCGATACCTAAATGAAGAGAAAACAGTCGGCTGAGTGGTTTTAGACTCTCGCTGACTGCAGGCCAAAAGTGACACGAGGAGCGACAAAAGCCAGGATACAAAGGCGAGAGTAACCGATAAATGAGACTAGCACCTTTTAGCAGGACCGTCCCAGTCGGATCTCCAAACCGATTGGTCTTTTTTTAATGATTAGAAAATACTTGAAGCATTTTCGCCACCTAGGAGTGGTGGTGGCGATTACCTACTAGGTTATATAGAACTTCTGTTCCATCCTCCTGTTCATAAACTCAGCCAACCCAAGGACTGGCTCAGAGGTAAATCGGGCTGATCTTAAAGGTCTAGAGACCCTGGGGCAACAAAAAAGCCAAAGCACCTAATTATTTTCTGCTTTATTTCTTATAATTTAAGTAATATGAGTTTCTTTTGAAGCACATCCCCAAAAAATGTATGTGAACGTAATGCAAAATGCTCTAGCAATTTTTGATAAAGTGGTACCTTTTACTAACTTTCTTTAAATATGAACTATTTTAATGACCATTACTACAGTAACTAAAAATATAGGTATTAAGTAATATGCGTCATGTTCGTGAACGGGTGCGGCGGGTGTGCAGATGAACTAGTTAAAGTTTTAAGATCCTTCTGAGAGCTTATACTCAAAATGACATGATTGAAGTTAAATATTATATCAATAAGTACCTGTATAAATAATCTGTTTAAATATTGCGTGAGAGTCACGCAAGTAGGTAGTTACTGCGCTTTTTACCTCTACGCTTTTTATGGACCCCAAAAATCCATCCCACGGTGATTCGAAATGGTAGCTTTACAATAAAACAACCCTTGCCGAGTTTCCTGTTGGTTAATTCTTTCTGCAAGGCTCTCATTGTAGAATCATCCATAATGAAAAACCTCTCAACTAGCTAGTTTTACAACTTCGTCTTAAAAATTGGAGTAAACTTAGTTAGTGCTCGTTCTTTACCTTTGAAAATCAATTATTAACAGTTTCATTAGTATCACCTATCATTGGATTATTATCATACCAGTGGCCCTGATACGCATTGATAAAAACACTCACTCGATGTGGTGTATGACTGAACCCTAACTTCCTTATCAGTCATGCCGAAGTTGGTGGAATAATTTAGTAATAATAACACCATTCTTATCGTAGACCAATATAGCTAACATTACCGTGTGTTTAGTTCATAATAATTTGTATACAGTTGTGTCCCAGCTTGCAGTTGCTGTGTGAGAAACTTTTTCCAAACAAAAAACGATGGATTCGTCAGAAGCGCAAGTTGAGGAGGATCTAATGTAGGTTTTCTTTTATTTAACATATTTATTAGCTACGTAAGTCGAACTTTATAAGTACTTAGTGATTGTTACTTCTCCCTACCTGAACAACAGCAACAAAATGTGAAATTTTACCACTTCGAATTGCTAAGGTAGAAAGTCCTCAATCGATCGAAGTACTACTATATGACCATTAAAAGGTAAGTAAGCTTATGTAAAACCGGGAAAAACGTTGTGTTTGTATTATTAAGTAGGTGAGTCGGTACTCTATTACATGATATAATTTGAGTATATTATAATAATCCACCGTTTTTAAAAACCACATACAATAATCTTGCTAATATCTACGATTTTGACAGGGTTTCCAGCATGAGATTTTTCCCCCATTTGGGGGAAAACATATCAACTTGTTAAAAAAACTTTAACAACTTACTTAAAACTTTTGCTGATTAATGAAATGTGTGGGAAAAACTTACTTACTAATCTACCACTGTATGCAATGCAAAGGGTTTAATGAAATAATGAAAACTTTAATCGAAATTTCCTTTTGCGTGGTCATTATGGCGGGCTGACGACTTATGCTGACACTTAACATGGCAGGACATTTGCCTTATCTATTTAACAGCCTATTTATTTAACAACACAGTCTCATTATTATCAGCAATCTATTAATATCCCCACTGCTGGGGCACAGGCCTTCTTTATTAATGGAATAGGGAGACTGGCTTGACCGTGCTTGACCTATCACATGGGTCCAGTACGGATTGGGTGTTAACGATTGTAGATGAGATTAGCAGCTTAGCGTGCCTTCCGAAACACGGACAAGCTCGAGATAATAAGATATTAAGTTGTTTAGTTATTCTATCGTTTCCATTCATTATAAATTAATTTTAATTATAATAATACATTAGGTCATCCATCTTCTCGTTTAAGTCTAAAGTTAAAGATCATTTTCTCAAACAGAAATCCCGAACTTAATGAATCATTCTTATGAAGTATCTTGTTTCTTATTAGTATTTATTTTATAAGGCTTTTATATGTATGTTAAATTATATTTGGATAAGTATTGCATTTATCTATGTATATTTATGTAGGTATATGTATTAAATATAATATATATATATATGTAATGTGTATTGTATATACATAACTATTAATTATTAAGTCTATGTCCTATAACAGTAGTAATAAATAATTTTTAGTTTAATTTTTATAACACTTTCTGTTGCCGCTAAGTTTTGAATCGCCGACACCACCTAGGTTGGCTGGAAGAGATCTCTTTTAGAGATAAGTCCACCTTTGCTAACTATGTAGAAAATTGACTTTCTGTTTTAAACTATATGATGCAATAAAGAGTATAATAATAATAGGTCTGAGTCTGACATGATACGCTTTTAAAACTCAATTTGTGACCAGTAAGTTTTTCTTACCAATTTTTGTCGCCTTACATAAGATAGTAAACTTTGGTTTGAAAAACTACCAAATATTTGTGAGAGATGAGGTTTACAGTTGTGTCAGACTGGCTGTTAACACAGATGTTTGATCTGTGTTTGGTATTCTGTATAAGTAAATTAATTACAGTGATTTCAAATTATAGTATTGTGTTCCTCTACATTTTAGAAATATCCACGGTGTTGCTTACTTAGAGGGTTAAGAGACACCTCTCTAACAATATTTATTGTTTATTCGTAAGAATTGGTATTTTTTAACAAAATAATATTATTGGCCCTTGCCTATTGATTTTATAAAGAATGAATAATATACCAATGAACGTTTGACCAACTCACAGTGGGTTAAGTTAGTGTTTTGACCTAAACTTAGCGCTAGCTGAGCAAGCAAAGCGAGCGTACCGCGGCAGCGGCCGGCTAGGCGCCAGTCACCTAATAGATAAGTAAAACAAGGAAAATGTCGACGCACTCTTCTCTTACTCTTACATTCGAGATGGCTAGAAGAATTTTTTCTACAGTAATATCCATCTTCATGCACATTTGGCCTTACTATGGCTACATGAGTCCCATCGATACAGTCTATTACACCTGGGAATTCATATTTGTTACAAAATTTGGAAAAAAATGCAATGTAAAATCCATAACCAGCATCATAATCTATTTATAAAGTTTAAGATAGTGAAGTAATGCAGAATACCTACCTTAATTTATTTGCGTTACGTTGTGCAGGAGTTTGAGGGAACTTTATATACTTATTTCTTATTTCTATATTATTAATAGCAGCTGTCACTTCTGCTAATACAACTGACACTGTCTGCTGTGCTACATTTTGAGCATAACCAGTAGGTTTCTGGTATGAACCATGTGCACATAAGTATACAGCAGTCAGAACCTGCAGTATTAACAATAAAGACTACATTATGCTGATAAGTATTTTTCAAACAAACATGAAACATAATTTACCTTAGTTTCTATACTGAGGTCATTAGACCTTCTCGGGTTTGTTTTGAGAATAGGCTCAAGTTCATCACATAAATTCCTAATTAAGTCTGGAGATAACCTGTAAAATTAATAAAGGAAAAAATAAAGGTTTTGATTATGTTCCAAGGCGAGGGTTTTCCAGATAAACAAGATTTCCTATTGTTAAATGGCCACCAAAGGGCAGAAAGTGCCCGACTGCCAAGCCTAATAAGGCTTAGCGTCACTTTTGAAACAATCTAGTATGTTGAATACTACATATACTACCTATATTCCTTAATAAAATCACTGTCTTCTAAGTCAAAAGGATCATTCATTTGTCTAGTGTGACGACACTTATTTCTTAATTCCATGCAGTATTCACTTTCCAAATATTCAAACACTTCATAATCGTCACACATCTAAAAAAATATTTCATGATAAAACTTAGGAAAAGTACACGTAAAATCTTTAACTCATTAAAGAGACACTTACAGCCGTTTTTTTAAATATGTTTTCAAGTAGACGTACAAAAATATCACTTAAGTACCACACAAGTGTAAATAAATATTAAAAGAAATTTACAAGTCTTGGGATTCTCACATTAAACTTAACCAAATCCACTTAACAATCTTGAAAAAGCTAATCACGGAGGAACTTTTTAAGGATTGCTTTATTTGACACTACAGACGCTCGTAAACAGCTTTCAATCTATCAAACTGCGCGTCATGGTACGCTTCGTCCATATATAAAAAACGGTGAACGGTTTTAAAGCGTGCACCAAAGCAGGCCTGCCGCAGGCCTGCTTAATCGAGGTCATAGTACGAAAAAGTAAGGCAGTTCATTAAAAGTCCTGCTTTAAGAGCTCATAGGGCCGGGGTAGCATAATTGGTTAGTGTATTCGCCCGGATAGCGAAGGTGCGGGTTCGAGTCCCGTTTACTGCCTGGTCTGCGTGGAATTTTTCTAGTTATATTTTCTTTAGAACAATAATATTTTTATTGGGTTTGGGATAATTTGGGGATATTAAAGATATATTTTGGGGAAAAGCAAAATTCAATAGTATGGGGAAACACAAACCATAATCTGGAGACCCTAATTTTGACAGTGATGTCATTTGATTGAGTAGGTTATGTTTTTGTTTGTTTTTGTGTCCGTTTTAATAAATAGCTTATTAATTTAGTGTTCATTAACAATTTTGTTCATATAATAATATTTTTTGATAAAGATCATTACACACATTACCCATTTCTAATGGGTATAAATTGTACCTATTAAGTACGAGATATCTGTTGTTAAGTTTTGTTGAAAGTTTTCAAACTCGCTGTAAATAATAAAATAACAGTAGGTAAGTACAATTATGCAGTAATTTTCACTAATTCTGATATTATGTTAAGGTGTGATCCGACAGCGTGTGTTGTCGGGGGCGCAGCCAGCAGGGTTGCCAAAAGTATGAGAACTCGTAACGTTTTGAGATTTAGCAGTGCCTCTACATGATACGAGTTACATAGAAATCTCGTACACTTTGTGATGGCATAAGGAAGCTGAGTCGATCCTTTATGGACTGGATATTTATTTACTTATAATATTTTTGTTTTCTGTACATGACACAAATAGTTAGTGTTCCAATCTCATATCGAAGTGCGTCAGATTTCTATTAACTTGTTTTACGTATAGAGACTGCTAAATCTCACACGTAAGAGTTCTCATATGCTTGGCAGCCCTGCACGGCGCGGCAGCTCCCGCAACAACACACGCCATTGGATCGCACTCTTTTCACTTTTCTTTCTTGAATGCAAGTGCTAGCTGATCCAACTTTAGATCATATTTCGGTTTAATACTGGCACATGTTTGTGACTACGTAAATAAATTATACTGTACAATGTTTACCTAATAAAAGAGAATTAAAAGTTATTTCAGTATTTATTTTCAGACAAATATTTTAGCGTCTATATTCTTTACAGCTTTCCAAGTACATCTTCCAGCAGGAATGAAGAGCCAGTGTTGTCAGTTGATGTTTCAAGAGATGTTCTAGTTAATGAAATGGCAGATTCAGTCATACCACCAGAATTGTACAGGTAAGTTTAATTATGTTTTAAACTAGATTGTAACTTTCACCATTAAATTTCATTCAAATCAAAATTATTTGCTAATTAGCTTCATACATTTTAAAATGAAATTCTTTGACATTTGTTATAATTCTGTGTATAAATATTAGACTAGATTCTAACAAACAGGCTAAAGTTTTTAAAAATTTACTAGAAAAAGAAATCCATGCATTCCAAGCAGCAGACAGGACTCAAACATGCTCCCTCCACTTATAACAGGCTAATGTAAAAATAACAATATTACTTTCAGAGCAACAGAAGAAACAGCAGAGAATGAAGATACAGCTAAACTAACATTGGCTTATGAGAATCTTTATGAATTGCCAAGGACCATTGTGGAAAGATTTTCTGACCACATTAAATATTTAGATATCAGTCATAACAAAATTACGTAAGTTGAGTTTAGTAATTTAAGAAAAAAAAAATAATTTTATTTTAAGCCATGTATGTGTCCTTTGTCTGTGAGACTGACTTAATTTAGCTGGTTATTTTAAAGACCAGCGACTCATGATAAACTGACACAATATCTATTATATTACAAAAGACTCTTGTGTCTAGTTTGAATTACCTCTAATCTATTCTTTCATTAACAGTCATTAACCATTATGAAGTTTAGGATTATTTTAATAAAACTCATAAGTATTGGAAAAATAATTTCATACTGTTTGTGCAAGATAGCACATACTTTTTTATAGTTCTTGTCTTGTATTCCTTTACTTTTTATATGATTTATGATTGTTAATTTTTTGTTCAATTTGTCAACCAGTGTCTCACTGTGGCATTCCTTGAGTTAATCATTTGCAGTTAATACTGTTTATATTTAAGCTTGATATTCTTGCAAAAACAAAATAAATTGCAAGCAATCACTTATTTTTTGATCCAATAAATTGAAATGATGTATACCAAATTCCATTTATGATTGGACCATTTTCAGAGTTCTATTTTCTATGTTGTTTGTTTATTCCAGATGCCTGGATGCTCTAGTGCATTTCAAACATCTGACATCCCTCATAGCTGATCACAATCCCATCACAGAAAATTGTTTTTTACCCCCATTGCCTAAATTAGAGTTATTATGGTGAGTTTGGTTTTCTATCTCTTATAGTAAAATAAAATTGTATGCTTTCCATCAATAAATTCCTATTTAAAGTGTTGCATTTTATTGAAATATTAGAATGCCACAGGGTAGTATCCTTGGCCCTCTACTTATTTTTTTAATTAGTTTAATTAAACATGTAATTGCTACTTTGCCGCCTTGTTATCTTCAATATAATATTGTTTCAGGTTGAACCACTGTAAAATCGCATCTCTCTTCCCTTGGGTAGGCAAGTTGAAAGAGACCTGTCCGAATCTTCAGTACTTGTGCTTGATGGGGAACCCCGCTGCGCCTAGTTATTTCAACGGAGGCACGTTTTATGAATATTTGCAGTATAGGTAATATTACAAAATTTATTTAACCCCAAATTATGTACTCTTATTCGAATAAATAAATTGATTGATTTGTAATGATAACTAATTGCAGGCAACTAGGCAGTATCTTAATAGAAATAGTACTGAATAACGTCTGAAGATAATTTGTTTGCATTTCAAAAAACTTCTGTCGGGTCCAATAAGATAAGTAATATATTAAATTCATGGTTCAGAAATAAAATTTTATCACATTACTTAGCGGCCAGCGAATTCTATCGTCGGCCGCACTTTAGTTAATGTCCTAACAGAGATTGGAACCAAAGACACAAAAGGGGGCCATAAGCCTAACGGAAATGCTTTGGAAAACGCTGACGCTTACAATTTCATTTTGTTATTTCTAGCCGCCTGAGGTTTTCAAATGCCACGCGCTCCTTTTTTCTTTTGCATTGGTAATAACAATATTAAAAAAATGAGCGTGAGGTATTTGAAAACCTTCGGCGGTCAGAAATAACAAAATAAAATCGAAAGCTTTAGCGTATGCTAAAGCATTTCCGTTAGGCGAATGGCCCCCTGGTCGTGCTACCCACCAAACCTTTGTGCTAAACAGTGTTGGGCAAAATGTAATTAACTTCAAATTAACAATTTCAATTACAAATTGTAATTGGTGACTTTAATTACAAATTACTTGAAATTATTGAAATGTAATTCAATTAACAATTACAATTGTAATTGTTAATTGCAATTACTCAATTACTTATATATAATCTCTTTTAAAGACGAGTTAGTGTTTTAAATAAAACTATTATGTTATGATTTATCAAATGTTTATTTACGAAATAGATCAGATAAATTGTGTAATTATAACCACCTTTTTTAAAATTAAGACAATAAATGTTTAATTTATTTTAAATTAGACATTAATACTACTATTTGTTCAAACATTTGATCAGAAAGTTTGTAAGGTTTTGGTAAGTTAATCATTGTAGCATATTAGAACAATCAATCGAAATAAAGGTGCACGCCGCCGAGAGACTAGAAAAGGGATAGGTAGCTGTGTAGGTACTGGTAACGAGGCACACACTTACTCACTCATAAATTCATGACAAATTATACACTAAAACTTTGTTTGTATTGTGCTTGTTGTGCTGCGTACGGGCATCATCAAGCTATTAACCGCTCAATTTTAGTAGTTTATTATGTTACCCTTAAAAAGTAATTGAGTAATTTGAATTACAAACTAATGTAATTTAAATTACTTCGGTCGTAAGTAATTGAATTACAGTAATTTCAAATACATGTAATTTCAATTAAAGTAATTCAATTAATATTCATTGAATTAGTAATTAAATTACAAAAGTAATTAATTACGCCCAACACTGGTGCTAAAAACATCAATAGGTTTTTTATTATTATTTTTATATCATAATTTATTATTTACTCTAGGCTCTTCGTCATCTCTCAGTTCCCGTCTCTAAATCATTTGGACGACAGAAAAGTTACAGACGACCAAAGGGCGGAAGCTCAAAGGCTATACAAAAGACCGTTCTTCGAAAGGATAGTTAAGCCAGGATCAGGGGGTTTCAGCCAATTGGTCCATTCTTCAGTCACTTGGAGCGGAGTCCAGAACAAATTGACCACGTTGCTGGGTAAAGAAAGGCAGGGCAATAGGAATCTTTTGATATGAATTGAATTGTGTCCATAAAGGCTAAAATCTCGTGTATGTTATTTTTTGGTACGACTCTTTAGAGACAGTTCATAGGAATGATATAATATGAATTTTGTAATATTAGTCAGGTCACTTTAGACACACAAAGGTGCATAAATTCCCATCAAGCTGAAAGTAAGTACAATTGTTCAAAACATATTCAAAAACAGTTGTACTCACTTTCAGCTTGATGGGAATTTGTGCATCTTCACTCTTATTTTTCTGTCTAATTTGATCGGACTATATCCATAAAGGCTGAAATCCTGTACGCGGTTGGTTTCTGGACGTGTCTTGGAAGGCAAAGCATTAGGAATCTTATGATGTGAGTTGTTTGTTATCCATAAAGGCTAAAATCCTGTGCTCAAGTGAATTGTAGAAGAAGCTTTGAAGGCAGAGTAATTAGAATCTTATGACGTGAGTTGTGTGCTATCCATAAAGACTAAAATCCTGTGCACAATAGGGTATTTGACAAGTTTTAGAAATCGATCTCACGTTATTGCCTAATTTTTATGGAGTCTATATACATCATTCTGTTGTGTATTTCAATAAAAATAACCAAGTTAAAAACTGCATTTTCAAATTACCGCGAAAACGTTTCTCTGGACAATATGGCGTCTTACTAGTGTGTGACGTCACACGACTGGTATTAAAACGTCAAACGATACAATGTAATGTCCCTTTAACCGGAAGTTTACTTGCATGTGACGTCATTTCAATCCCAAGCGTTTTGAGTCACGTGACGATAGATAAGAAAACTATTATTGTTTTTGTGGGTTTTTAGTAAAATTATGTATATATTTTTTGTAAAAATAGTAAAAACCCCTGCTAATTTTCATTCTAAACACAGATGCTAACAATTGGCACTTTATTTTTAATACTGTCAAATACCCTATTGGTTTGTGGACGAGTCTTAGAAGCCATAGCACTGGAACCTTATTATAAAATAAGTTGTCAGGCTAAAATCCTGTACACAGTTGGTTTGTGGACGTATCTTGGAAGGCAAAGCATTAGGAATCTTATGATGTGAGTATGAGGAGCTGGCGAACAAAATGGTACAATTACATACAATAAAATTTTGAAAGACCTGTAAAAAATGTATGACATACATACTTAGTGAGCTTTTGGCGTGGTTTTTTATTTATAAATTTAGTTATTTTAACACTGGTGCCAATTCTGGAGTGATTCTCTAAACTTAAAACTAAATTTAACATCAGTCTCTCCTTTTCATTCTGTATAGAGAATGACAAGGATATACTGCTGTCAAATTTCAGTTTCGACACCATTGTTTTTAATTGAAAATAAGTTGAAATTCAAATTCAGCGGAGCCAAAACCTACGACTGTAAAAAGAAAGCAGTTTTACCAGATGCGTAATTATAACGTTTTGTTTGCCAGCTCCTTAGTTGTGCTACTCATAAAGGCTAAAATCCTGTATAAGGTTTGTTCATGGCCGAATCTTAAAAGACAGAGTAATAAGAATCTTACGATATGAGTTGTATGCTAACCTTAAAGACTAAAATCCTGTGCACGGTTTGTTTGTGAATGAGTCTTAATATTCTTTTTTTTATTGCAATAAGACCGAATTTCCTAGTTCTGTGGCGACTTTCACAATTGGAGCATGGGTTTTTTTAAAACATATACCATTGCTCATTTCTTTGTTTTAATCAAATTGTAATAAGTAACAAAATCAATGTTAACTAAAGTCTTGTTTAAAGAAAAATCCGTATCTAATATAATATTATGTCTTGTAACAAGAATATAAATCCTCGAATAATAGTAACAGTGTAGTGCCCGAAATTCACAATATATTTGGAACCGCCCCCTTTAGCATGACCACCTCAACCTGATATTTTACCTATTTCACTTATAGATATTACTAGCGGCCCGCCCTTGCTTCACTTCGGTGTAGAGCTGAAGTGTACACTACAGTTTTTGTTCTCCGGCTTGTATTATACATAATGACATTCATCTATGATTCTTCTTATACCATGCAAAGTCTCAGCCCTCGGTTTAAAATTGACAAAGTTTCATATAAACTTTCATTCCCTATTTTATCCCCTTGGGGGTAGAATCAAAATCCTTTCTTAGCGGATGCCTACGTCATAACATCTACCTGCATGCCAAATTTCAGCCTGATCCGACAAGTGGTTCGGGCTGTGCGTTGATAGATCACTGTCGGTCAGTCACCTTTGAGTTTTAAATATATAGATGACACTATATCACACTAGTTGTTTACAATTACGGCTTGCTTTATGTGAAAGCTATCACAATTTCGAATGGCTGCTTTATAAACGATGATTCTGCGAACGGTGTGGATTATGGAAGATTCCCTTAACCTAAATCAAATTTGCCAACAGTGTATCCTTGTCATTGTAGAATTCTTTGTAAGATGTGGTAGCTTAATGTAAACGTCTATTATTTATGACAGATAGATGTTGAGGAGCTCGATGGCGCGAGTGGCTAGCGCGTTCGGCTGCGATCGTTGAAGTTAAGCAACTTTCGCAGTGGTCAGTCATTGGATGGGTGACCAAAAATCTTCTATCTCGAGTTCCTTCGTGCTTCGGAAGGCACGTTAAGCCGTTGGTCCCGGCTGCATCTGCAGTCATTAGCATCCGTCAATTAGCACTGGGCCCGCGTGGTGGGTTATGACCCAATCTGCCTATTTCATCCTTAGGGAAGGCCTGAGCCCCAGCAGTGGGGACATTAATAGGCTGCTGATAATGATGTAGGTGTTGATAAACGCCTAAATCGTCTAGCTTTTCGGTGGTCATGATATAAGAGTTGGTTATTATTTGACAATGTTTTAAGTATTGAGTTTTGTAGCACCTGTTTAAATCGAAAATCCACTTGCAGCAATTTCGCTAAGTCTCAATTTAACTTAAACTATAGAGTAATGTCAAATCGATTTTGCCATTTCGACATTTTGCTATGAGTTCGAAGTTTAGTTTAGTTGAATCGAGATTTAGCAAATTTGCTGCAATTGGAGCTTATTAATAATACTTAGGTCCACTTGCAATAATTTAGATAAATCTTAATTAAAGTAAGTCAATATTTAGCCCATACAATGATGTGGCATTGACCTTATGACATTTTTCTATGGGTTATATCTAGTTTTTGTTAAATCGAGATTTAGTGAATTTGCAGCCAGTGGACCTTAGTTATATTGGAAAACGTTTTTAAATGTTAAACAAATCTCTTCTGTCTGAGGACTGTGAACATACTGAGTTTGACTGATGAAATGTTGTGTAATTATGATTATGCATTGCCGCCTATTTGTTAAGTTTATTAATGTTCTTTTTAGTGAAGGCCAAAAACGTGTCTGTAAAGCTAATAAGATGTAAGATTGTACTTTATTTTATTATACAGCTTGTAAAAAAACCTATGACAAGTAATATGACAAAATATTATACGTGGGAATCATTTGTATTTTTAAGTTAAAAAAATACTTTTTTTTTTCAGTAGGCAATGTATAGCGCGGCGCGCTACTGTGGCGCTACGCAAAGAATGTGCCTGTGTGTATCTGTGCGTGTGTAAGTGCGTCAATAAAAAAGTTTCTAAATAACGTTTTAAAATATTAATGTATAAATCTTGAAAAAAAATGTGACTGTCCTTCAATATCTCCATGACCAAAAATTTCCCAGGTATGGTTCAAAAGAAAAAATCGTCATGATGTGGAAAATACGTGGCCTTCGACTTCCTTAAAGGATTTTTTTTAACCCTGTATACTTTCATAATGTACGTTTAATGTGACAAATTATATTTTTAATTACTCATTATTTTGAGTATAAGAACTTCCATAATTAATTAACAACAGAATGACATTAAAAATAAGTCGTAGGGGAAACCACCCAATCATTGGCACTCGTCCTATTATTGGCATTTTCGAGTTTAATTCGAAAAAAACAAGGAGACAATAGATTATTCAAGGTCGTTACATATTAAAATGAAAAACCTAGTATGGTTACGAATTGGAAAATTGGCAGCATTATTCCTACAATCTATTGTTTCCTGTTTATTTCGAACTAAACTCAAAAGTGCCAATAATAGGTAGAGTGCCAATGATTGGGCAGTTTCCCCTAATCCAATACAAATCTCGAAATTGTTCCAGTTTAAGTTATTTCTTTCATAATATTATGTGCACATTAAGAAAGCTCTTATTTAATTTATTAATCTAAGGATGATTATTATGATGTAAATACAGGGCATTTTATTAATTAACTTAAGTGAATATTTTCTGAATTATAGTTATTTGAATATAACATTTATTGTATTTATTAAAATATAGCTATTAAGATTCAGTAAAATCTTCAATATTTTTGTAATGGAATTATTTAAATAAAAAGATTCACGTTGTGACTTAATTGGTTTTATTAAAGATTTTTCATACATAATATAACAAATTGTAGGCTACCTATGATTAGGAACGTAATGATGTAAAAACTTCATTTAAAGAAGATGCTCTCCGATTTAGAAGAAGTTATATCGCACCTTTGCTTGGTATGAAATTGACCTAACTCAAAAAAAAACCATAATTTCTGATTAGCTATAAATTGACCTTTAAAAGCATACGAAATTAGCCACTTTAATTTTTGAGGGTATGATAATATCAAAGAACTGAAAAGAGGTTAAACTATACCGTTTGTACGGAAAACGACGTCGACGGCTAGCCCCCACTACACTTCCACCTAATAGATAATAGTCAATCAAACGACGCGACATCAAACAATCCAACCAATCGGCGCTTACTCCCGAAAGCAACGACGCAATCGGAACGAAGTTTTGGTCAAGTTTTGAGCATTTGCTCACACAACTGTGATGCGCCTGCCCCGCCCACAAGGCACTTCTAATCTCTTTCTGTGTTCTGTGGATAATAGGATAATATAATAATTAAAGCGAAAAGCAACTTTATTCCAAGCAAAGAAGTTTTTTTGGTCGAAAGTTCAGTCGAATATGGTCGTTGTCTTCCAAGCAGTAAGGTCTACATACTCCACCGTCGCGTAGTTGTCGCAATGAACTTTGGGGTTTTCTAAGCTTTCCCGCTCAAACGCGTTCCTTTGCACGTAACGCACGTCTGTATTATCACAAATGAGACGCGCCATGGAAGCCTTTTTTAACTGGCGAAGTTGCTCTGGAATAAGAAATAGGTACGTCTGAAAAATCGGTTCCTAAAGGTACCTACTCGCACCGAATTAACGCCGACTCCACACTCAACTCCCAATATGGCATTGAAATGTAAGCTTTATGTCGTATTACCTAAGAGTGAATTTATCAACATAAAAGTTGAAGGTACCTGTACGATGCGTGGGTCCACGCGTTTTGACTGTCACAAGGCCCATATTATAGAAAGATACGGAATCTTGGTCAATCAATCACGGGATTTATCTAGTCTTGAGCATAGTTAGAAAGGGATGTCGCTATATATAACACATAGCGACATCCCTTTCTAACTGTACCTACTCCAATAAAGATCAACACTAAGTTGTCATTCTGTAATACGGGCCTTAGTATCGCCGCACACGGGCCACCGACCACAACCACAAAACGCCGCCACCGGCATATTTACCGCAAATTTAACGCCAGTGGCCGCCACACGCTTCGTGGCGAGTCCATATAAAATGTATGAAAATTACAGGAAATACTGTTTTGTAGTTGTGGCCGGTGGCCCGTGTGCGGCGACACTAAGTTGTCATTCTGTAATACGGGCCTAAGACTGTCACCCACCCGATTGTCCCTTGTCGACAAACCGGCCACGAGTCGACAATGTGATTACGGCTAGTGGGTAACGCGTAGCCGTTTTCTCCGCAATAAGCGGTAACGCATTGGCCGCCAGTGCCTATAAGCGCTTATTGCGGAGAAAATAATAAATAAATAGGGAATAATAAATATTTCCGACACACACCTAGCCCCAAAGTAAGCACTGTAAGGCTTGTGCTATGAGATACTAGGGTAACGGATAGAATACATACATAGTACATAAATATGTATATAGAAAAACATATTAAACATCCATGACTGGAGTACACAAACATCTGCCGCCACCGGGATTCGAACCCGGGACCTCTCGAGTCGGCGACACCATGACACCCGGCGTATAAACCACTCGGCCACGGAGGAGGTCGACTAAGTACATTTATCTATTGTAACAATCCCAATAGGTACTTACATTGTAGCTATTCACGGGATTGATACCATGTACCTTGTTTTTTTTGAGTCTCCGATATTTCGACACTGTTGCTCATAAAAAACAAGGTACATGGTAACAATCCCGTAAATAGCTATAATGTGAGTGACAATGAAATTTTAAAACATTTAAAATAGTTATTTTAGTTATATTTTTTATTTTTTAAGCATGTAACTGCTCGATGTTTAAATCTGAAGAAAATAGAACTAGAAAAAACACCACGCGGACCAGGCAGCAGACGGGACTCGAACCCGCACCCTTCACTGACCAATTATGCTACCGCGACGCTGACGGCAGTGTCGATTTTTTTCTAGCCTTTCTTAAGCTGCAAGGTAGCGCTATCTCTTCGCATTGCAGTTAACTCTCAATGTCGTAGGTAGTTATTTCAATTTTAATAAATCCAAAATTTTAAAAGTAAAATAATATATATAATAATATATAACATTTCCAACACACACCAATTAGCCTAGCCCCAAGCCACAAGCTAAGCACTATAAGGCTTGTGTTATGGGATACTAGGGTAACGGATAGAATACATATACTGTACATATATAAGTATATTTATATAGAAATACATAATTAAACATCCATGACTGGAGTACATGCCCGTGTTCATCACACAAACATCTGCCCCCACCGGGATTCGAACCCGGGAGGGACCTCTCGAGTCGGTGACACCATGAAACTCGGCGTACAAACCACTCGGCCAAAGAGGTCGTCAAATAAATATTAGCTACCAATCAGTCACAATTGTCTCACCAGTGGTAAACGAGTGCGGCATCTCCCCATTATCGTAGAAGAACCTGTCTCCCACTCTCGTCCTATAGAACTGTTCCGCCACAATGCACTGGAACGTGTGGCCGAGAATGGAACCGTGCACCGCGCGCTCCATCGCCCCGCCCACGAATAGATCTATATCCTCCACGGACTCGTATAATTGGGATAATGCGTAGATGCGCTGTAAAGACATTTCATCATCATTGTCAGCCATTAATGTCCCCACTGCTGGGGCACAAGTCTTCCCTATGGATGGAATAGGGAGATTGGGCTATAACTGTTCCGCCACAATGCACTGGAACGTGTGGCCGAGAATGGAACCGTGCACCGCGCGCTCCATCGCCCCGCCAACGAATAGATCTATGTCCTTCACGGACTCGTATAATTGGGATAATGCGTAGATGCGCTGTAAAGACATTTCATCATCATTGTCAGCCATTAATGTCCCCACTGCTGGGGCACAAGTCTTCCCTATGGATGGAATAGGGAGATTGGGCTATAACTGTTCCGCCACAATGCACTGGAACGTGTGGCCGAGAATGGAACCGTGCACCGCGCGCTCCATCGCCCCGCCAACGAATAGATCTATATCCTCCACGGACTCGTATAATTGGGAAAATGCGTAGATGCGCTGTAAAGACATTTCATCATCATTGTCAGCCATTAATGTCCCCACTGCTGGGGCACAAGTCTTCCCTATGGATGGAATAGGGAGATTGGGCTATAACTGTTCCGCCACAATGCACTGGAACGTGTGGCCGAGAATGGAACCGTGCACCGCGCGCTCCATCGCCCCGCCCACGAATAGATCTATGTCCTTCACGGACTCGTATAATTGGGATAATGCGTAGATGCGCTGTAAAGACATTTCATCATCTTCCATAAGGATGGAATAGGGAGATTGGGCCATGAACCGCCACTCGGGCCCAGTGCGGATTGGCTGTTGGTGCTAACGACTGCAGCCGGGACCGTTAAGCCGTTGGCTTAAAGTGCCTTCCAAAGTACGGTTGAACTCGAGATAGAAGATTTTTGGTCACCAATCCAATGACCGACCACTGCGATAGTTGCTTAATTTAAACGATCGCCGCCGAACGCGCTAACCACCTGCGCCATCGAGATCCTCAAGTAAAGACATTTACCAGCTATTAAAGCAGCTTTTATGTCGTCATTTATGAAAACGGAGATTGGAAAAAAAATAACAATTGCATAACTTTTAAAAAAAAATAAAATTATTTTTTCCAACGGGCATATGTTCTTTCAATTATCTAGATGATACCATAATTTATTCAAATTTTTAAATTAATATTTGTTACTATAAAAAAATAAATTTACGTGGTACGCTGTCTTTAGCGGCAGTGCACCCATGCCGTAATGGCTGCGCGGAGCCCTATTTTCAGCGTTAAATTAAAATTATTAATAATAGAGGTAGAGTTCCGGGAGCTCGAACTTTTTTTTCGGAAATTTCCTCCTCTTTAAGGACCTTTTTTCCAATATCGTAAATATTAATAGTTTATGAGTTATAACAAAAAACTAAATACCTCTTTTTTATCTTATTTTGTTAATAACAAATGCAATTTTTTACGTGCAGTAAAATCCTCTTTCTAGAGGAGGTCTTTTTCTAGAGGTCATTCCGAATCCAATGAGCTATTGCTCATATATATTTTTAGGAGCTTTATCTCCATTTTTCACGTTTTTCAACTTGTTGACTGGACTATAAAAAATGTTACTTACGTCCTGTGTTATTTCTCCGCTCAAATCTTGGAAAGATTTTGCTCTCCGCAGACCGCATATTTCTCTGTAAAAATTAATGTTATATTACTGATTGGTAATAAAGCAGATCCGGAGATGCCTGTACGTCAAACTTAATTCTAAATGAGACAATGCTTCTAAGTACTTAAAGAAGAAAAAACCCGGTATTTGCTTCTCTGTATATCCACAACGATGACGTCGAGCCCCCAGGCTTCATAAATCTTGAACAGTAATTTGTACTGGATAGCTGCAGTATAGTTTTATTACCTGAAGTGGTTATAGGAGGCGATCCACATCGATGAGGTCGAGCCTCTAGGGACGATGAGATATGGACAGCTGGTGCTGATAAGTCTTCAACAGTAATTTATTAACGTGGTTGCAGTATGGCTATAATACCTAAAGTGGTTATAGAAGGCGATGTCATGGTCCCTGCCCCTCTGTATATTCACAGCGATCAGGTTGAGCCTCTAGGGGCGATGAGACTTGAACAGCTGGTGCTGATAAGTCTTCAACAGTAATTTATTAACGTGGTTGCAGGATGCCATAGTCCCTGCCCCTATCGTATATCCACAACGATGAGATCGAGCCCCTAGGGGCGATGAGACTTTGACAGCTGGTGTTGATAAGCCTTCAACAGTAATTTACTAACGTGGTTGCAGTATGGTTGTATTACCTGAAGTGGTTATATGAGGCGATGCCGTGGTCTCTGCTCCTCTGTATATCCATTGCAATAAGATCAAGCCCCCACTGTCTATGAGACTTGAACATCAGATTGGTGACGTGGGAGCTGCAGTGTGGATCAGCCTCGGAGCTGATGTGAGCGATCGCGCCGCGCACTATGTCGTCGAAGGATTCCGACGATGTTTCAAGGAGACTAGGATTTTGATAGTGGTCGCTTATCCTGGAAACGTATTGTTATAGGTTGGGTAGGGTATTATAGATGGAGTTGCTTTGCTGATTGTTGAATTCGAATGAAAAAAACTAAATTATATGGAATTTTATGATGATTTATAAAACATCGTGAACATCGTCGTGCCGTGTACTACTAATATTACGACTACAATATAACGATATATTATGTAACAAATGTTAAATTAAAGAGTTACAGGCTTTGAATTGAGACAATTTGTTTTGGTATAAATTAAGAAACTTATTGATGAAAACATTATCAAAGCTATCGGCAAGCCACCAGTGACACAATACAAAGAAAATCTTCTTTATAAAACACCAACAATAAGTGATTTCCTGCAAAGAGATGCTCAGGTTTAAGCAATACGAATAAATTAGTTGTTAATTTTTGCATGATAGTTATATAGATAAGAACTCACTTATACAAGTAAGCGCCGTAATAGTTAGCAGGGCAGGTCATGATAGTGTCTGGCACAAGCGTGTGCAGGTATCGGAAGGCGGCGGCCGCGAAGCTATTGATGACGGCAGCGTTGACCTCCGCGCTGTAGTCGTGGCTGTACAGCGACGTCGGCGAGATGCGGTAGTACCGGAAGTAACTCTCACCTGCATTCGAAACATCAGATATTTGTAAGTACGTTTATGACCATTATCATCAACCATTTAATGTCCTCACTGCTGGGGACTTTTCCTGTGGATGGAATCCCTACCGCACATTGGACCGTTACGACCCAGCACGCGGATTTAAAGTGGATTGGTGGCTGCTAACGACTGCAGATGCAGCCGAGTCCACGACTTAACGTGGCTTCCGAAGCGCGGAAAAGCTCAGAATAATAAGTTTTTGGTCACCCATCCGATGACCGAACATTGTGAAAGGAAAGTTACTTAACATTCACCATCGCAGGCTGAACGAGCTGCGCCATTGAGCTCATCTTAGGAGTTTAAAAATAAGTACCCTTAAATTAATGTTGATTTTGTCGGTAAGTTTACGTAAGTATATCAAACATTTCAGTTATTGTGCGAAATAAACAATTAAGCTTGCGAAAATCATTTAAAGGTTTTTAAGCGATTGTGTGATAAAGAAAGCGCTCCACTAAACTAATTCGTTTGCGTGAACAGAGTGTAGTAAAAATGACATTTCAAATCGATGCAGCATATATTTTTTCATCACTATATCCCATTCAGCCGTAAAGTTCAGCTCCGTTTGAAGTAATTATATAAGAGTTAAACTTAATTATTATTACACACACACACACACACTTAGTTATTTAACTTCATTGGAGGTACCTGTTGATAAACTCTCACCGAAATTCAAAGGTAGCCACTCTTGGTACGTGATATGCTGCAGCTCAGCTATCACGATCCTTCTCGCCTCCTGGAAGATTCTCTCGTCACTCCAAGTGGGGTTCATTCGATCAAGGATGTCCGCCACCCGGTTATGTTCCCGCAGAAGTAAGGTGTGTAACATCGCCAGAGTGGGAGTTTGGTTTATCCTGCCGTCACCTGGAGGAAACCTCGTTTATATTTCACAGAGTATGAGATATTGATAAAAAATAACAATAGTCTATGCTGCTGCTTTAGGACATCCAAAATATTAGAATAGTATGATGGAAGAATAGCTATGTCTCCAATATTAAATCCATATTCTGGAATCAATGACATTACAATACAAAATCTCGTAATAAAATCATCATACATCTCTTATAATCACCAAGTAGAAAGACATTTAGCTAGGGAGCTGGTGTCAGTAATTTTTATATCATTTCATCGTTTGACAGACGTTGATAATATTGCAATATCTATATGCAATATTGAACTCTCACCATCCTGACTTCTGCTTTAATTTCACTATCTATAAAATATATTTATTAATAGGTTATAAACAAACAATCACTCAGGAAATAAGAAGAATTTAACCACACGGTAGCGTAATGGTCAATGCATTCGCAAGGATAGGGGTGCGGGTTCGAGTCCCGTCTGCTGCCTGGTCCGCGAGTATTTTTTTCTAGTAAAATTTTCTTTAGATAAGATTTAAACATAAGGCAAGATCAATCAAACCCTTTAAGTAATATAGCGAGCCAAATAAATATAAATACAGAAAAACATAACTGTTCTTTCGGCGAAGTCGGGTAAAAAGGGGTCCTTTTTACCAAAGATCTGTCCCCGGGATCCTGCAATTGATAAGGCCGCCGGCCCCTGCTTTAAGGAGACCACGTTATTGTATATGTTAGAAGCCCTTTCAGCTTACCAGCGAAGTAGCATGGTTCCGAAATGTTCCGCAAATCGCAGTACGCCAATTTATCAGAAACAGTTGGTAGATAGCCTCTCTTGGCCTGGGTCTTATATTCCTCACGAAGACGACCTCTCTTCCTGCTCCTCAGCTTTGACGTTTGTTTCTTATCAGGGCTGTAGATCTGAGAGCCGTCCAAGTAACTTGAAGCTGCGTTTATCTTAAAAAAAAATGCTAATTAGGCGTCACATCATACCATTTTTTACATGTTATACTTTCTTTCTACTTTCAATAGAATGAGGTAATACTGGAAACCACCAAAAGGTAACCACCAATGGGAAGGCCCTAGGGGCGTTCATGGATTGACTTCGGCAACACACCCTCCACGCGCAAAACTGACGTCATATGTCGTCGAGACATCGAGATGGGAAAACGTCCAAAGAACAGAAGAAGAGACAACACGTGACTTAAAGAAGACGTTTCTTAGAACTGCTGTACAGCTTATTATAAACTGATGTTTACCTGTTCAGCATATCCCAAGCTACAATCATCCCTGGGCGTGGTGACGCTCCTCACCAGGTTGAGGCACCTGACACCATGCAACCGGTAAAAGTGGTCTTCGTCGGGCACCCTGATGGGGATACACTTGTCGTTCTGCCATTCTGGAGGCAGAACATCCCCGCCTTCTCCGAGGCAGCATTGTATGCCTCCCTCATCTGCAAAATAATTACAAATACATTGTTAAGTGTGATTGAATGCGGACTGCGGATTCCTGGGAAAAAATCACTAAGACTTACCGGTGACTTCAGTCAAACGTTGCATCAGGTCGTGAGTGATGAACTGGCCCCACTGCATGTTGAGGTAGTTGAGCGAGCGGCTGGAGATAGCCGCGTCTGTGAACAGCCGCGTCGACAGGACCCGAGGGTTGGGCAGCGGACGACCGCTCTCAGCTACCGGCATTGAGTAGATTCCTGAGGATGAAATCAAACCTAAAGAAAAAAAATTTTTCGAACCAAATCTAGGAATTTTTCGGTGAGTTACATTCCAGTGAGGATTGGGTCAGGGTAGGCAATGTCGCCAGTGATATTTTTGGAAACGCAAGTGTCTATATAGGCTATCGTGGCTGCTTACCACCAAAAGGTCCATACACTTCTTTGCCATCCTTTCACTGCCGGATTAAGGGGAGGGCAACCGGGGCGAAAGCCCCTGGGCCTCCACAAACGGGGGGCCCCCACAATAGAGACTTCGGAAAAAAAATCTTTCAAATTCCAACTAGTAAACACTAGTAAACATCTTTTCCTTTGATATTTTTTTTGCTCTTTTACCTTTACCCAGGGCCGAATTTAAGGCAGGGCAGGTGTGGCTGTGGCCCAGGGGCCTCCACAACAGCTTAAGAAATAACAACATTTCGATGGGTCAATAAGCATACAAATCCTAAGTGGCCCGGGGCCTCCACAATCCTAAATCCGGCCCTGCATCCTATAAATAAAAAATAGTCTATATCCACTATTCCAGAAACTGTCCTCTGTGTTAGTTTGTCTACAAGCTAACATAAAATTTGATCAAAGCCTGGAAATAAAAGCGTTGCTCCATCAAAATTTAGTGAGCACATTCAGGAGGACGTGACGGTATGTATAAAAATCTCTAAAGTCTATTTGTAGCATCTTTGAAGTATATTGTCCGCATGACAAGTTTTATGAACTAAGATAGTTAAATATTAGGATTTTCTTTAGATTCCACATATTTTTTTTCCTAAGTATCTATTTATTTTTAAACGAACATTAGTTATTATATATTAGTACCTGAGTATGTGAGTTCAACGCTGGAATGGGTTTATTTTCAAAGAAGTAAAGTTATCAATAGTTAGTCAACTTTTGTTATCCATAAATATACTTTTTTACTTTAAATAAATAGATATTGCCTTATTTGGAACAAGTGTAACCCATAGTTTGTATAGTATTAACAAAATAAAAACAAATCTTAGGGCCGATTAACTCGTAGTCAACCGATTTAGGTTAGCGTCGATTCATTACCATTGTTTATGGTGCCGATAACAATAATCTTCACCGATAAAAACCGTATCTATTTAAGGACAATGCTTGTTTTCGATTAGATTATGTTTTACATGGTAAAATGTATATTTCGGTAAATACTTAGTTTTCGTAACATTATTTACTTTTAGTTTGTCATGTATTCCAGAGGTATGACAGTTTTTATCATTGTATAACATAATATACTTATCATTTAAGGCAAACTAATGTAAAATACTCCCTTTGTTCAGATAGTAGCTGAATATAAATGGGATATCAAATTCTTTTCGTGTTTTTAGTATTTTGGCGAGTACTCTAAAGCAACTTGACAGTGGCTGAATGAAATAAGTAACCAGCTTGAGTTTGAGTATTTTTTCGATTACCATAAAGCAATGCAAATTACAATGGAAACAGCTGATATGAAATTCTGTGGCAATGACGAAACGCATGTAAAGCCGTTGGTCCGAGCTGCGTATGTAGTCGTCAGCACCCACCAATACGCGCTGAGCCGACATGGTGGGTAATGGCCCATTTTATCAGAGCCATCCATAGAGAAGGCGTCTGTCCCTACAGTGGAGACATTAATGGGCTGATGATGAGAATGTCAAAACGCACCGTCCACATACCGTGGTGGCGTTATCCTGGTTTGTTGCAGGTGCCGTCGAAGCTGCGGAATGTGTCCTGGGCGCACCTGAAGCTGAGTAGCTTGCAGGAGCCACCGTCAGGCTGGCTCCTCCGAGTATAAGCAATGGTTGAATGTATAGGATCTCATTCTGTGGCAATAATAAAATACATTCTACCGTCAGCATACCGTGGAGCGCTATCCTAGTGAAAGGCGCTTCTCGCCTGACCCAGCCCGGCTTCTGCTGGTTGTTGCAGGTGTCGTCGTGGCTGTCCTTGGCACACCTAATGCTGAGTGGCTAGCAGGACCCGCCGCCAGCCTAAATCCTCCGTGTATTGTCAGTGGATGAATGTAGTGGGATCTAGTTCTGTGGCAACAATAAAACACACTCTACCGTCGGCATACCGTGGTGAAGTTATCCTAGTGAAAGGCGCCCCTCTTTTGCCCCAGCCCGGCTTCTGCTGGTTGTTGCAGGTGTCGTCGTGGCTGCAAAACTGGTCCTTGGCGCACCTGATGCTGAGTGGCTAGCAGGACCCGCCGCCAGCCTAGGTACTCCGAGTATTGGCAGTGGCTGAATGTACTGAGATCTAATTCTGTGGCATCAATTAAACACACCCTACCGTCAGCATACCGTGGTGGCGCTATCCTAGTGAAAGGCGCCCCTCTCCTGCCCCAGCCCGGCTTCTGCAGGTTATTACAGGTGCCGTCGAGGCTGCGGAACTTGTCCTTCGCGCACCTGATGCTGAGCGGCTTGCAGGACCCGACGTCAGCCTTGATCACTTGGTGCTCGAGGAACGCCATGAAAGTATTAGGAGTCACGTCAGAACTGGAGGTCAGAAAGGTTGACTTAGATGATAACTAGAACATTCATTATTCTATTGTAACTAAGTAATGAATAGTTAAGAGACTGAATACATCTCCATAAGATAGAACTAGAACTACTTATTAAGCTAAGTTTTTATTACATATAAACTAGGCAGCTTTTGCTTTTTCTATTAATTACCATAGACTTTGGGTTTATGGAACAATAAGTGGTAAGGGTGGTCGGTCGTGGTGAACCTGGGTGCAGCGTCCATACATTTTTGCCCAATGTCCTTTCCTCTTTTACCAAAAACCCCTATTTTTTGGTGGTACGAACTTTGCTGGGTCTCCATATATTTTAAATATAACAGCAGTGCCTAATTCATAACATAAACCTATTTTTTTAATTCCGTTACAAATGTATAGTGTTAGAAACTCAAAAAATATTATATGACTAGAAAACCCCATTGGCTTATGGCTATGATAGCGGACTGTCTAGCTTTATTACAGTAGAGTAAGAAGTATCTAAATTGTATTAGTTTGTTATTGCCACATTCAATGTGAAAATATAACTATGTATTATAATTTTATTTTCACATTTTATTTATACATATTATCTACAAAACGTGAATTATTTTTTATATAAAATAGTTATTAGTGTGTTAAGTTAGTTTTTAACGATTACACTTCCTCTCAGGCTTATAGAGCCCGAGAGTGCGGCTTGAAATTCTATGGATCGCCGATCTGGATAAAATTGTATACATTTGCTACCATTCATATACACTAAAAGGGTGCAAATATTAATTAATCATGAATTAGGGCTCAACATGGATCTTTTACCCCACTTCCCGTTGCACTTCTAGAGCACAACCTATATCACCAATCCAGATGTGCCATACATCAAAATGTTCGTTTTGATGTATACATTAAGAGTATCAGGGGGTGCCACCCCTCATTTGGCCGCAACATCTCGGCACCCTCAATTAAATGATGTTTTTTTTTGTCAATTTAGAAATTTGAAATTATTTAATGAATTTTACACCCCGCGTCGCTGCCGACTACCATCCCGGTGTAAATGTGCCCTAAGTGAAAATAATCATGTAAAATATTTGGAATGTGTTTTATATTCCTTTGCAATACCTATCCTGCGAGAATAGAAGAGGCCGAAATGTAATACGAAACTAAGGCTAGAGAGCCATGGTTAGCTTTCGGCACAGCGATTATAAACTGTTATAAATCCCCTTAAAAGAGAAGCCATTTCCTTCATAAAATACTCGGAATATCAAGCAATCACACTACATACAATAAAAAGTCCTTTAAAAGAGGCGTGAAGAAGCAACATGCAGGCCGGCAGGGTGAGGATGGCTGGTGTGGCAGGTAGAACTGCTGTATCAGCTATCTTCGCGTCTGGACTTCACCTTCACTTAACATCAGGGGGGGTGGAGTCATTTGTCGGACCTAGCTATAAAAAAAATGGTATTGTGCTCTACATTAGGCAAATACGTATATCGCATCCCCGGTGCGACACTGTCACTTATGCAAAAAAAAACATTTTTTCAGGAGAAGCGTTTAAAACTTTAACATCCCAAAACATACAATATTTAAAGTTTTTTTTTATTTTTTTTTAAATGAATAGCTAAGCTGTATAAACTTTTCATCACGTTAAAATCTTTAAATATTGTATGTTTTGGGATGTTAAAGTTTTAAACGCTCATCCTGAAAAAAAAGTGTCGCAGCGGAGGTGCGATATGTTTATCGCATGGAGAAACAATTAAGTAATGTCATATATGTAAATACGACAGAATTGCGAAATATATAGTCGTCAGCAGTGTTTCGTGACAAATATCACACGAAAACCTTTAAAAAAAGCGTACTCTTTCCTAAAAGTCTGGGATAGCATTTGTGATTGGTACTTCTCGTGTTGCAGATGCTATGGCCGACGGTGATCGATCTTTTATCACCAGATGAGCTCGCATAACTCCTCCACATCATCAGTCTATTAATGTCCCCACTGCAGGGGCACAGGCCTTCTCTATGGATGTAACACCACGCCGCGCCGGCCCAGTGCGGATTGGTGAATGCTAACAACTGCAGATGCAGATGGGACCAACGGCATAACGTGTCTTCCAAAGCACGGAGGAGCTAGAGATAATAAGTTTTTGGTCACCCATCGAATGACAGACCATTGCGAAAGCTTTTTAACTTAGCTGCGCCATCGGGCTCCTGCGCTATGCATCCTCCTATTACAGGCTCTGAGACTTACCTGGAACATATCTTCATTTGCAGCAGTTTCGTGGCAGCCAGCATCTCGTGTGATGCCTGTGCCGATTTCTTCAAGTCGGGAGGGAGAGGGGCATAGAAGAAGTTAGACAAAGACAGCGGATACGGGTCCAACGAGGCGCCACTCCTCACCAGCTGGTTGCCGCGAGTGGAAGCCGACTTGCTGAGGTCACGGCCTCGCTTGAGACACTCCGCGACGAGGCTTGGTGGTATAAAATCTTCATTTTCTGCGGTAGCTGTGGCTGTAATGCCAATGGCTAAGAAATTCACAATAGGTACGTTTTTTTCATACGTTGGTACATTTTTAGTCAGGATTGGTAAGAGGCCGAATACACATACTCACGCAGGATTACGCATTAAAAGAAGATTAAAAGTGTCTGTTCGCAAATCGGTTACAGATCGTAATGTTGCCTTAATAAATCAATTTTTCTCCACTTTGTCCAAAAAAGTTGCCCCATAATATTAACCACATTCTAAGTATTTGAGGTAGTTATAACACGGGAAATAAAGGGATACTTGTCAAATAATATTTTAGTAAAATTGTTTGTTGTATTTATAAATAAAAATTAAAAAAAAAACAAAAAAAATATTTCTAAAAATGTTATTTCTGTACTGTTTCTCCATTGGTTTCCGGGGATCCACGGGGTAGGGATTGGATTCAGGGGAAAAATAATGTTAAAAATAAATCAAGAAACGTACTTAGGTATCGCAACCGTCTATAGCAGAGAAATCCCAATCTTACAGGCTATTGGGGCCCAGTACATTCAGGCGAGCCATAGGCTTATTTGACGCCCTTTTGACGTTAATAAAAAATCCCTTTACTACCTATGTAGGTAACTAAATAAAAAAAAACTAGGTGAAATATTTTTTAAAGATTGAAACCTAACAGTTAAGTTAAATGCTCTATCAAAATATAATGAATTACCTTTAGTATCCAAAGAGAATAAATCCTTTAAAAAAGTAGTTGTGCTACTAAGTATAGGACACAGTGTTGGGAACAATTCTTCAGTAAGAAAATCCCAGTCGCAGTCGTAACAGCCATTCGTGGTGCCAAGCAATAAACACACCAATGCCGCTGTAATAAGGACACTTCTACACCCACTCAACAATATTGTCATTGTTATTTTTTAACACTCCCGAGTCAAAATAAACATTGTTAACGTCTGGACAAAAAGTTTCTATTTATGGAAAAAACATAATAATAACACGTCATATTATGTTGGACAAAAACATGCTCATAATAATTTCGCCTTTGCGAATTTCAGCTTAAAATCACATAGTAGGTGTCCATATAATTCACATATTAATTTTAGTACAAGGTGACAATATCTGATATTATTAGGGACACCATTTAATCAAAAACACTCAGATAATCGCACATAATTTTGGACAACCGAAACAGAAAGTAACCACTTGTTTCTTCCACCAAAGTAATACAAAAGACAAAAAAAAATATAATGACGAGCTGTGAATCTTATCATGTCACGTAAACTTAGTTGCATTTTGGTATGAAGTACAGAATGCTAATAAAAAGATAGGGCATGTTCGTTCAAATATTTTAGTTACATTTGCACAATTGCTTTTATTAGTTTACATAATGTTTTCGATAACGGACCTACCATTGACAGGTTATTTCATTAGTTACATGTGGGGTCATCAGGCCCGTATTATAGAAAGATTCTCAGTGACTGATCTAGTCTTGAGCCTAGTTAGAAAGGGATGTCGCTATATATAGCACATAGCGACATCCCTTTCTAAATACAACTTCTATCGAAAAACTTATTTATAAATTAAAGGCAGGAAAAAAATTTGTGGGCGGATCGTAATAAAAAATCTAAAAGTCGGATATTTTGATATTTCGTAGATATTTTTAGGTAATGTGAAAAAAAAAGTGAATATACAGAAGTTGTAGATCTTTTGGTTAACTATATTACCCTTCCCAACCTCAAATCGTCCGTATTTTTTTTAATGTGGTCTCTTGAGGTAGGGATTCCTTCGCCCTGAAGAGGGGAAAATTCGTATGATATGTCGTCCTTGGAAGGATTTTTGTCATGCACTCCCGTTGACACCGGGCGCTCTCCCAGAGCGAGAAGTATGGTACTAGCGGCCTATGCACTCTGGCTGGCCACCGGCTCCAAGGGATTACCGGGTCCCGTAGTGAGAAGTGTACTACTGAGGCGTTGGCAGGAGCTAGTTGAGGCGTTTTGCCTCAGCGCTTGGCGGATCGGACGGGTCCTTCATGGACTCAGATGATGACTTGGGGGAGATTGGTTACGGCGAACTCTCAATTGGGGAGCTTATTACAATGGACACTGAGCCGTTCAGTAACGCAGAACGCGCTTTCCACGAGAATTATGGCCTTCCTATCGTGTATGTTGTAAAACTGCACAGTTTTCTATACATACGCCACGTACGATAAACTGTTCCGTTCGAACTGTACAGTCTGATCGTAACGATTTCTCGTAGTGTGTATGGCTGGTATTAGACAGTCCCTATTAGTCGACCTTATTGGACGATGGTACCAGTTGATGTGCCTGTGATTGGCCATCGACGGCCTACTCGAAGCAAACGGGTAGTATTTAACGGGACTAATGTGAATTAACTGAGGAGCTTAGGAATAAAGTGTCCTTTACAGTTATTAACTTTTGAGTAAATTGAGAAAATAAATATTCAAGTTGATCTAAGCAATTTTCATTGTGTTTTATTAACCATTTATGTGCCAATTATTGTATAAAATTTAATGTATTATAAGATTATCTTGCTGGTTTTGAAATTTGGAAAAAAATACATATCAAACAAATCCTTGACACCCTTTAATCCTATAGCTTGTAAATGTACCTATTTCATTGAATAATTTTGTAAAATGTCACGTTTTAAAACATAAAACATTCAATACGAAAATAGATTCACACAGAACATTTTTATTTCCTATACATACAGGTTGTAAGAAAACCTTTAACGAAGTCGAATTGATTGGAAGAATTTTTGTGTAAAACGGACAGACTGTATGTATAATATATTATGTCGCCCTTAGCTCATTCTTGCAACATTGTCGTGGCTGTATGACTTTGTGTCATGACCATTCCCGTTGCGGAAAAAGAACTACAGATTTTGAGTAGCTACAAATTATTTATTAAAAGTTGCTAGAAGCAACGTAAAATATATTTTTAAGCTTACTTAGAAAGTGGAATAAAAAGTACTTTATTTTGGACACAATGTACTTTTTTTCTACTTTCGAGTTCCAATGTACGAGAGTCGCGGGCAACTGGAGATGGGTGGCTCCGGCTCCGTGCCGATGACGAGGGGAGAGAGTCGTAGAGAACTACGCTTCCCCTTCCGCGCATCCGGGAACCAGGCAGCGGCTCGACGCGGGAGGTCCAGAAACGGACAATCACCTTGCAGGTGCGCGGGCAGTGAAAACTGTGCCGCACCACCACCCCACCAGTTTGTAGAAGAAAAATCCATGATAAAGAACGTATTAAAAAAAGAGATACAATTTTTTATAAAAAGATATTTATTAACACATGACTCGCATTCTGGCGCTGAGGATCACAGTGGTATGTTAATATTACCTAATTAACAACGAGATCAATTAAAATCCCGTTTTAATTCTTATATTAAAAGTCTCTTCCTTAAATACTATCACGGGTTAAGTACTGGGGTAGAAAGAACTACTGATATTTTTGCGTATAACTAATCTATTTTAAAACTTCGATGAGGGTTTTCATAAACAGTCCCCAAGTTTCAAAAATACTCACTCGTTGCTGAAATTGCGATAAAACGTTTTTAGAAAAGACTCATACCGCAATGGCTTCAATTAAGCGTAAATTTTCCTGAAAACCCTCATTAATAATTACAAGCACGAAATTTCATTGTCAAATGTGTACTGATTTTTAGTTCTCGTTACGTCCGTTATGGCGCTGCTGTTCAAGTTTCCATACAAAATTTGACAATGACATTTCGAACTCGCAATCTATTCGAATTTAAAAATGGGTACAGTAACTGTGTTTTGTTTGTACTTGAGTCCTAAATAATCTTTTACAAATGCCATTTAGCAAACAAATTTATAGAATTCAGTGGTTATGAAAATGATTGTAATTTTTAAACTTATCTTTGGTATACATAACTAGTTCATCGTCACTGTGAATCAAAAACCTCATGAGCAGACCCGTCTTTTCTAGTGAGCACTTTGGGCAAGTGCCAGTGCCAGAGGCCCGCGATCGATAGGGGGCCCCCTCAGATCAAATACAAAGTCCCTAGTTCCTGTTAAATCACCAAACGGGGGTCACAGTCACAGGAGCCCCATTATCCTGATATGCCCAGGGCCTCCAATAGGTCAAAGACGGCATTGCTCGTGAGCCTTGTGAGACTTCTACTCAAGCAATAAAATAAAACCGTTGAAATTAACTTAACAGATTTTCCTCTACGTTAACGTTATGCAAATTCATGTCAGTGACTGTCGTTATTACGTAGGCAACGATTTACCAGTGTTGCTAATTCATTGCACTATAATTAGTGATCTCACAATAAAAAAAAATAAGTAATTAACGGAAGTCATGCATAGTGTCCACTCTCTGACAGTCGTATTTTTAACTAAATTAATTTGTAATTTAAACTAAAATGGACCCAACAAAAAAAAACTACTTACATTATATTGAAGATTGATATAAAATGTCAAAGAGTTGAGGGACAAATATGTAATATATGAACATTTTTGAGTTATAACTTTCTCATGTTGAGACTGGCTAGTAGATTTCAGTAAGAATAATCAAATTAACATTTTATTTACATTTGAGAAGGTCTCAGTATTCGGTGGCATTATCGTAGTGAAAGAGAAAAACCCGCAACAAATTTAGCCAGAAAAGATGAATATGAGAGCTTATTAAACGTGACTAAGTGTCGCCGCACACGGGCCACCGACCACAACCACAAAACGCCGCCACCGGCATATTTCTTGTAGTTTTCATACATTTTATATGGACTCGCCACATACGATACGTCGGTGGCCGTCACACGCTACAAATCGTCGTTGCTCGCTTCTTGTGGCCCGCACCGGCCACTTAATGCGCCGGTACAAAACGCCGCCACACATCACTCGCGCGATTCCCCACCCCGATCGACGTTCTTATCAAGTGCGCTATATATTTCAAACATTAGTCCAATGGTTTGCTGTCTCATGTCACGGTTAAAATAATGTTCGTTTTTTTTATCCCACATGTGGGGCCGGTCTTTATATACTTCGATCACTCGTGTCCAAACTTCTTGCTCATTATGATCTGCCGCCATCTTGATCGAAATACGTGCGCTGCGTGTGACAGCTACTAACCGACTGATTGAGAAATTGGCCCAATCGCGCTACGTGCAGGGCGGGCGCTCCTGCCGCCCTGCCGTAGGCCCTATTTAGAAAATTGCACCAACTTGCCTACAAACACCACAATTCAGGAGGCAATTCAGGGTCATCCCCACTCTTACACCCTAGATTGTCCCTGCGGCAGGCATGTCAGTAGGCGCTTTTAGTCGGCCGCTGTCGCGCGCTTGAGCCACTTTAGTAGCCGCTTCTAGTTTCTCGTGGCGGCGTTTGTGGCTGTGGCGTGTGGCCCAAAAAAATTAGACACGGTTTCAAACCTTGTTTAGGCAAACCTTGTATGACTTTTTTTCTTAAACTCGTGTTGAACGCATGTCTTTCGTTTTTGTGGTAATGAAGACTAAGTTTATTAAGTAGTTTTAAATGCATTAAACAGCCAGATGTATAAATCTAAAGAAAATTTAGCCAGAAAGTGCAGGTTCATCACATCACTGGACCGAGTGAATTTTATTCTAGTAAAATCTTTAGATTTAAAAATAATTTAACATGTTTTATATACAAAGGCATAGTTTTTGTACCTTCTTCCAATATCTTTATTCAATAACTAAGTTCTTAATATTATTTACTGTATCGTCCTACCAGACTATGACGATCGCAGGCACATTCAGATTAAGTTAAGATACATTTCTATGATTACTATTTAAAATACTTAAATAAGTCGAAAATTATAATAAACTAAGAAGACCAATGTAAACTAAATCCCAATTTTCTAATATGAACGTATGTTTTGAATATGTGGTCCCATATTTTGCTACTGATTCCGAAAGCTGTAACAAACAAAACAAAATATATAAAAGGTACGTAACTAATTCTATTATGTATTTACTAGCAAACCAGTGAACCAAATGTTCACCAATTAAAAAAAAATGTTTTTAATTAATTGAGAACTTCGGAGATTTTGTGTGGTTTCGTTTGAAATTCGTGATTTCTCGAAAACCGGAAGTGCTACGTTACTCAAATCCGGTTTGTAGTCTTATCAGACTATTCTTAACTTATAACTTAAACATTCTCTTTATCTATCTCTTACGGTTTGGCCGCTGAAACAGCACCACAGACAGACGGACGGACTTGTCTAATAGATAAGAGATATTTATACGAGCAGCCTTACGCGACTTCGTCCGCGTTAACTGAGATTTTTGAAGTGACAACTTCTCATAGGATGGTAAACTGCTTCGTTACATAACGCGTTACGGCGCCAGTCTGTCTTGCTTCCCTTTCTATCACGCATACGGCAACGGTAGGCAGGCTCCTTCTCTCTCACTCTAACCCGCAACGCCCCTTAGATTAGTTTATGACTTAAGTTACCACTTCTGTCGTGCGTCCCGAGACGCACACGCTTTTTTTTATATCCAGCAGAAACCTAACGTTTTCCGGGATGAAAAGTATCCCTTAGATTAGTTTAAGTTATCACTTCTGTCGTGCGTCTCGAGACGCACTCGCTTTTTTTTTAATATCCAACAGAAACCTAAAGTTTTCCGGTATAAAAAGTATCATATGTATCTAACCAGGGGGCCATTCGGCCAACGGAAATGCTTTGGAAAACGCTAAAGCTTACGATTTCATTTTGTTATTTCTAGCCGCCTCTGGCGGTCAGCTAAGCATTTCCGTTAGGCGAATGGCCCCCTGTTCATAAACTATGTGTGTAGCAAATATCATCCAAATCCATTCAGTAGTTTTTGCGTGATTGAGTAACAAACACAAATTTTCACATTTATAATATGGGTTACATTTAAACGGTTAGCAAGGTAATCATATTTATGTTATCAAAAAAAAACAGTTGGTTAGCCGTAATAGCTAGTTGGACAGCAACTTATGGTGAGCAAATAATTCTAAAAATTGCAACCTGATTTTTATTACTGCTTACAAAGTCTTTTTAATCTACACAAAATTTTTTTGGCTGCTTTTGTTAATATTTTTAAATGGCATACCAAATAATGACTTCTCTTATAATATTATTAGGATTAATTAAGGTGGGCTCGGCAGCTTGTACCCGCTCAAATATGTTTTATTAAATGACTACTATAATGTCTGCGTTAATTTTAGTTTTCTAAGGATCCCATTTTTCCGGAATAAAAAATACTTATCCTGTGTCTCATCCAAGTCATGAACTACATGCGTACCGTATATGACTACTTTTAGGGTTTAAGTAATAAACATAGTTACAAAATTTCTCATTCAAAATAGTAGTATTAGAATAATAGCTTAAAATAGCGAGGAGCTCGATGGCGCAAGTGGTTAGCGCGTTCGGCTGCGATCGTTGAAGTTAAGCAACTTTCGCAGTGGTCGGTCATTGGATGGGTGATCAAAAATTTACTATCTCGAACTCCTCCGTGCTTCGAAAGGCACGTTAAGCCGTTAGTCCCGGCTGCATCAGCAGTCGTTAGCACCCACCAATCCGCACTGGGCCCGCGTGGTGGGTCATGGTCCAATCTCCTTATTCCATCCATAGGGAAGGTCTGTGCCCCAGCAGTGGGGACATTAATGGGCTGATGAGGATGATGATGATGAATAGCTTAAAATCATAACAAAACAATATAATGAGGAATACCTTTGTCATGGTTAACGAAGTGATGGTTGGAATGGTACCTCTTCATAGTATACAGATAGGAGCCGTCGCAAGGGGATCCGTGGTGCACGTAATAGTGAATCATGTCGTAAGCAAGGTAACCTGTGAACAAGTACACACACTATTAGTGATTACTCACTACCTAGGAGCCAGTGTTGCCAGATCTTTAAACCGGTGTTGCCAGACCTTTAAACCGGTGTTGCCAGACCTTTAAACCGGTGTTGCCAGACCTTTAAACCGGTGTTGCCAGACCTTTAAACCGGTGTTGCCAGACCTTTAAACCGGTGTTGCCAGACCTTTAAACCGGTGTTGCCAGACCTTTAAACCAGTGTTGCCAGACCTTTAAACCGGTGTTGCCAGACCTTTAAACCGGTGTTTCCTTAATTTCATTGCCAATTTTCATCCATTGGGAAGGCCTGCGCTCCAACAGCAGGGACGTTAATAGGCTGGTGATGATGATGATGATCAATTATTAGGTATTTAAAGGTCTTTATGTTCAATGTTGAACAAAATCCAAACATTTTCTTCAAGTATTTGTATAAACCTTGTTTAATATTCATAAATTTATGCTGCCTACCGAGGTTTTGTTTTAAGTTCAACTTTTTTCAAGTTACGCATAAAAACCGGCCCGGACTTGCCCACCGATGGTGCCGTACAAATATGAAAGTATGCAACATATCACGTTAATTTAGAAGAAGTTTGATTTTATCACAGCTTCAAGGGGCCATAGACTCGTTCAGGGTTCTTGGTTCTTATCATAATTTCCTCACTTCGTTCAGGAATCCTTCATTTCGGTCAGCATTCAATAGACTGCATTATCCTCTTGCTGCTTAATCTAGTATTTTAGGTTTCCATAACTCAAAAGGGAAAAAAGGAAACCCTTATAGAATCACTTTGTAGTCTGTATTTCCGTTTGGTTTGGTCAGACCAAGACACATAAATCGGGTATAAACCCGAGGATACTCTACTTTATACACCTACTGTAAGTTTAAATTAAAAAATAAATTGTAAATTCAATTAAAAGTAAGTTTATTTATTATGTCCAGTCATGTATGTTTAATATGTATTTTCTATATAAATATACTTGTTTAAGTATTCTGTCCGGTTTCTGTTACCCTAGCATCCCATAACACAAGCCTACAATGCTTTCTTTGCAGCTAGGCTAATTGGTGTGTGGTAAAAATTTATTTATATTTATCTCTGTAGTACTTAACAATATTGCAACTTAGTGCACTTCTCATAGCGCATGAAAATCGATAGCATTTACGACGGTCATTCTGTGACGGACATGAATAAAATAGTGCAAAATAATTAAGTTCGTATCGTACCTATCACTTTCATGCAACTTGCCTTCATAAAGAAGATATTATGCATTCTTATCGTACATATTGAAAAATAGATAATATTTAATATGTAAAGGAAATTTTCGCAGAAAAATAAACTTGTAATCAGACTCGAATCGCACTTCTCTAAATGTTTTACGAAAGTAGGTTATTTTTGAAATCATGAATATGAAAAGATATTATTTTACTAAAACATCAAATAAAATCGGATTATATAAAAAAAATGATTTTGACGAGTGAGTCTTTTTAAGTATAATAATAATACTATCTATACTTATAATAAATCTGTAGAGATGTCAATTCTGTACATGAAATATATTTTTAAAATAACTATCAGGGGGTGATTAGTGATCGATACTGATGCCAAAAATGCAATCAGTAAATTTTTTGTCTGTCTGTCTGTCTGTCTGTGTGTTTGTTCCTTATAGAAACAAAAACTACTCGACGGATTTTAACGAAACTTGGTACAATTATTCTTCATACTCCTGGGCAGGTTATAGTATACTTTTCATCACGCTACAATCAGTAGGAGCAGAGTAGTGAAGGGAAATGTTGGGAAAATGGGAGAAGTTACTCCATTTTTTAAGCTTCCGTCGCGTGTGCAGCCTTAATGATTAAAGTTACATAGAAATCATGTACGACGGAAATATTCTACATAAAATTGTCTAAAAAATATCCCGCAACAGCATATGTCTATCTTTTATGGTTGACTCACAATAACACGTGTAACTCCCGATAGCTTAGCAGTTCGGAGCATTCTGATCATATTTGTTTACTCTTACGTTTATAATACTCGGTATAGAAACACCAAACTTATACATGAAATAAGCCATCGCGCCGTCGCACGTGAATACTGAATCATGCTATAAGGATTATTTTTGTGTAACGGTTGCCGCGCTCGACACGGGTCGCGGCAGCGGTAGGGTATCAAAGGTCCGAGAGCGAGCTGTCTAAATCTGTTTTCTGCGTCGCTCCCCCCCTGGGGGACGATCGCTTCCGATGAAGCCTTAGAGGCCTTCCCGGCCAGAGGCAGCCCCTACGGGTGTTTTTTAGTCAGTACGAGTCTGACATAACCTTGCAGCCGGCTGTAGGGTATCCATGAGGATTTCTCATCTGCTCCCTCGCCTGGGAGACCGAAACCGTGCTTATCAGCGCGACTTTTAGTCTTTAAATAGTTTATTTGAATTTCTTTTGTTGTTATTTTGTAAATCAGATATTAGTTGTTTTGGTAGTGTTTAAATATTCGTTCAAATTAAAAATTATTAAGCGTAGGTACTTTTATTAATTAAAGTAGTTATAAGTATTTATTTTTAAGTGAAGGAGGTATAGGTAGATAGTATTGCACAGGCGTTTCAGCTTTATTTTCATTTCTTTTTTGTTGTGAGTTGTATATATTTCTGGTTATAATTCTATAAGAATATTTTAGTTCAAATAGTCACTTAGATTTTATGTGTAAGGTAGCTAAAGTTAGGACCACGTATTAGTTGTTTTGGTAGTGTTTAAATATTCGTTCAAAGTGTAATTTAGTCATATAGGATGAATGTACGATGGCCCATCGAAAAGGAGTAGAAGCGGTAGACAGAACTTTAAGAGATATAAGACAAAATGATCGACCCATGGGCGGTATCACAGTTTTATTTTGTGGTGATTTCCGACAAACCTTAACGGTAATACCACGGGGAAAACGAGCTGCTGAGGTTAGGGCTTGCCAGAAAAGCTCTTATTTGTGGCGTGATATACAATCGGTGCATTTGACTATAAACATGCGAGTGAGAACTGTAGATAACCCGGATGATCGTGAATTTTCTGATATATTATTAAAGAAAATACCTTCACCAAAGAAACCTATCCGCTGCTACACCAAGGAAAACTTATTCTGACGCCTGAGTTATGTTGTATAGTGCAATCCCAACAACATCTTACATCGTCAGTTTACGGTGACGTAACAAATATATTAAATAAGAACAATTCTTGGCTATGCGAAAGGTCCATTTTAACTCCTCGCAATGACCAGGCATCTGAGATTAATAATAAAATACTGTCGAATATCCAGGGGGAAAGCAAAGTTTATAGTTCAATAAATAGAATGGCCGATGAACAAGAAGCCACTAATTACCCGATAGAATTTTTAAATTCTTTAAATATGCCCGTACTTCCTTCTCATGAAATTTGTTTAAAAATTGGCATTACGATTATTCTGCTCCGAAATTTAAGACCACCACAAATTTGCAATGGAACTCGGCTTAAAGTAACCCAGTTGCAACAAAATGTAATCGAGGCTCAAATTTTAATAGGTTGCGGTGCAGGAGAAACCATCTTTATTCCCAGAATTCCCATAATACCAAATAATTTTCCATTCCAATTTAAAAGAACGCAATTCCCAGTATCGGTGTGTTATGCAATGACAATAAATAAGGCTCAAGGGCAGACCTTTCGTGTTGTTGGAGTAGATCTCGGTGTCAGTTGTTTTTCACATGGTCAGTTATGTCGGTCTTTCCCGGGTTAGCAGTCCTAGAATTTTTTATGTTCACGTTCCGGACGGGTCAAATTTCAACGTAGTCTACCCGGAAGCTTTGCGCTGAAGTATTTTCATTTTATATGTACTTAAGACTCATGTGAAAGCGATCTAAACAATATTACCAATACATTAACATAATAACATACAAGGAGTTACACGCTGATGGTCTCGGGGCACAGTGATAATAATAATATTCTGCGGTTCCTTATTGCGATATTTTTAACAGTATTGTATTTCCCTACTAAAATACGAAAGTTAATCTGTCTATCACATCAAAACCACGGAACCCTGAGGAAGGACATATGCTACTTTTTTACGAAAAACGACGATAACGCGGACGAAGTCGCGGGCAAAAGCTAGTTATTAATAATATTATTATAATTTATATCAAGGCCCAAATTTGGACAGAAATCTAAAGGTCTCTTTTATTTACAGCTTCCCAAAGGGTACTTATTTATTTTACACTCAAAACCTTCTTCTTGTTTTTCCTAAAAACCTCACGTTTTTGCTTTGGTCACTAAACCACACACTAATAATGATTTGTGAATCTGATTTGCCAGTTAATGTTAGTTTATGAATTAACTTGGACATAGGCAAAACTCCGGATCCGGATATAAAAGGCTTGTGTTTATTTTATCGTAATCTCTTTTGATTCGAAAGGAGCTTTTTTATGTTAAAAGGGTAGCTAACAAGCAAATCGGCCGTCTGTTGGTAAGCGGCCACCATAGGCTATAGACGCTTCGGTTTGCCAAAACTATCACTCACGCCCACAGAACACAGAAAGAGGTTTCACACAGAAAACCTCTTTCTGTGTTCTGTGTTTCACACAGAAAACCTGTCTGTGTTCTGTGTTTCACACAGAAAACCTCTTTCTGTGTTCTGTGTTTCACACAGAAAACCCCTTTCTGTGTTCTGTGCTCACGCCGTTGCCTATCCTTACACCATCCGCTGCCCCGTGGCCCGTGAAGCCCTGGAACCTTACCCGCCGACAGAAATACAACACTACAACTAGGAAACGTTATTTTATTGTGAACTTCTGTAACGTGGGGTTTACTTCCCCAGGCGGGCGCTCCAATTCAAGTTGAAAAATCCAAGGAAAATCCGATATTTCCAGTCATGTATGCTTAATATGTATTTTCTATATAAATATACTTATTTGAGTATTCTATCCGTTACAATAGCATCCCATAACACAAGCCTACAATGCTTACTTTGCAGCTAGGCTTATTGGTGTGTGGTAA